GGCTTCTTGGAGCTGGCAGGCCAGTGACCAACACCCCCCCACCTTCTGTTTTCAGGGATTTTTTTTAACCTCTTTTTTTTAAAAAAAAAATACTTATTTGGCTGTGCTGGGTCTTAGTTGCGGCACGCGAGATCTTTGTTGCAGCACGTGAGATCCTTTTAGTTGTGGCATGCAGGATCTTTTAGTTGTGGCATGGGGAGTCTTTAGTTGCGGCATGCAAACTCTTAGTTGCAGCATGTGGGATCTAGTTCCCTGACCAGGGATCGAACCTGGGCCCCCTGCATTGGGAGCGCAAGTCTCAACCACTGGACCACCAGGGAAGTCCCTAACCTCTTTATTTTGAATAATTTCAGATTTACAGAAAAGTTTTAGAGTACACAAAATCGCCGCATACCTTCTCCCAGAGTCCTCAAACATTACCATCTTGCCACATCTGCTTTATCCTTGTCTGTCTTTCTAATTACTTGTTCTGAGCTGTTCGAGAGTGGGGGTGTAGCCCAGGGATCCCTTCACCCTTCATATTTCCGAAGACCACTGTCACAAATGACCACAAACCTAGTGGCTTATAACAACACACATTTATTCCCTCACGGTTCTAGAGGTCAGAAGTCAAAAATCAGTCTTACTCGTTAAAGTCAAGGTGTCAGCAGAGCAGGTCCCTTCTGGAGGCTCTGGGAAGAATTCGTTTTCTTGCCTTTTTCAGCTTTCAGAGGCCACCCGTATGCCTTAGCTCATGGCCCTTTTCTGCGTCTTCAAAATGCATCACTCTAGGGACTCCCCTGGTGGTCCAGTGGTTAGGACTCTGCGCTTTCATGCCAGGGCCTGGGTGCGATCCCTGGTTGGGGAACTAAGATCCCGAAAGGTACGCGGCGCGGCCAAAAAAATTGAAAAAAAACCCAAAATGCATCACTCTAACCTCTGCTCATGTGGCCTTCCCCCTCTGCCTCCCTCTTATAAGAACGCTTATGATTACGTTTCGGACCCACCTGGATAATGCAAGATTAATCTCCCGTTTTAAGATCCTGAATTTCATCACATCGGTAAAGTCTATTTTTCCCTGCAAGGTAACATTCACAGGATTCAGACCGTGGACATTTTGCGGAGAGGGGGCATTACTCATCTTATCGCCCCCCCCCGCCGAATCTCTCTGTGCTTATTTCCTAAGAACATTCTCTGACACAAACACAGTACAGTATCATCATTAGGAAATTAACATTGGCACTGTTAGTACTGTTATCTAATCCACAGACCTTATGCCAACTGTCCCAATAATGTCCTTTATAGCAAAAAAAATTTTTTTTAAGTTAAACAAACACACACACACACACACACACACACACACACACACACACTTCCCCAGTCCAGGATCACACAGGTTGCATCTAGTCGTCACACTTTACTCTCCATCCATCTGGAACCGGTCCTGAGTCTTTATCGTTCGTGACCTTGACACTTGGGGAGATTACAGACCAGTTGTTTTGTCAACGTGCGTGTGTTTCCTCGTGATTAGATTCGGGTTACGCATTTTTGGCATGGGTCTCCCAGAAGGGCTCCCCCCTCCACCTTCCGCCACTCCCTTTTCCTAAGTAAACTTTGTACAGAAGCTTACGTAGCACAGACACCGGCAAATGAGCGCGGTGCCAAAGCGCCCAGCTCAGGGGAATTTCTGCAGGTGACGCCCCATATCACCCGCACCTCGAAGCCCCCTCAAGCCCCTTCCCCTCGCCGCAACCCCCATCACCACTGTGTTGGCATCTAACAACATGGAGTTGTTTCGCCCGCTCTTGAATTTGGAACACACAGACCCGTACAGTCCGTGCACTTTTGAACCTGGCTTCTTCCTTGCAATCCTGTGAGTGTGCCATCTGTCCGAATTCAGTGAGTGGCCAGAAGGGGGCTTCTGAGGGGCTGGCCCACTGGTGTGTTCGTTTTGTAAGATCTCACTGCGCGGCATGGAGGTGCTCTGTGTGCTTTTCTGTGTGTGCTCTACGTTCGTACAAACGTCCGAATTTTATGCTGAAAGAGGGACGGAAAGGGCTGCACGGCCGTTAAGAATACAGACCCCAGGGCCAGACCGCCGGGTGTGTCTCAGCCATGCCGCTTATGAGCTGGGTGATCCTGGGTAAGTTGATTACCCGAATGTGCCTCGGTTTCCCTGTCTGTCAAATGGGGGTTTTAGTGTTTCCCATCGCAAGATGCTATTGCAGGATTTGGCTCAGTGAGTTGTTCCGAAGGTGACATGAGGTCATTTGTGAGTGTTTGGAACAGGACCTGGCACGGAGTAAGTGAAAATAGATCAGTGTCCTTTTCAATCCGTAAATCGTGAAGACTGTTCCAGGAGGAACGTGGATGAGGTAGCTGGGTGTTGGCGCTGGTCTGAAGCATCACCTCGAAAGCAGCAGGCAGGAGCCCAGCCTGATGTAGGCGTGTTATATGGTCCACTCCAAGCCGCGGGCAGCTTCGCGGGTAGAGACGAGGAGGCTTTGACGCGATGACCAAATCTTGATAAGTTCTGAACAAAACGAAGACCAGCCTTCCCTCGGATTCCTCAGTGACTATCCTCCTAGAAAATGCACTGTGTATTAAAACCAAACACAAAACACTTTTGTGTGTATACATAAAACTGCTGGGGTTAGTCTCAGAGCATTCCAAACCATGATTTCACAGACGTGAATGTCCACTGGGACGTTTCGCAATCAAACGGAATGTGGGCAACTCTTTGTGATACAGAAGGGCAACGCCTCTCGTTCCCACCTGCCCAGTCTCTGTGGCATCCAGAAACATTGCCAGGGTGGCCCCCATCCCTATGCTAACCAACCCCTGCACGTTCCCGAGACGTCCTCTAGGGGGCAGCATTGCCCACTCACGGCGAGATTTCTAGCCGCTTTGCGCAGACGTGCAAATATTAATACAATCGATCTTCTTTTACGATGTCCGAGTTGGAGAATTCACCTACACACATTTATTCGTAACCCCCAAACCAGATATCCTGGTGCTTTTGTGGTCATTGCTGTCATGCATAGAGGAGTGAAAGTTTTGAGTTGCCCAGTGTGCACCCAACTGAAGTCTCACGGGGTGACATTCAGCCTTCTTGTTCCAGCCCATACTGTAAACCACTGTCCTTTCTACAGTCTGTTGAGTGCCATGCTTTTCACTTTTGGGGTGCTTTTTGGTTGGTGATTTCACTGTCTGAAATGTCCCCCTAAATGTAGTGCTTAATGCTGTCCGGTGTCCCTAAGAGCAGGAAGGCTGTGATGTGCTTTACAGAGAAAATACGTGTGTGAGAAGAGCTTCCTTCAGACTCCAGTTGTAGCGAATGTTGGTTGTGAGTTCAATGTGAATCAGTGCTGTATATCAGATAAGATGTCTTTAAAAAAATTTTATTGAAGTATAGTTGATTTACAATGTTGTGTTAATTTCTGCTGTATACCAAAGTGACTGGGTTATATACATGTGTGTGTGTGTGGGGGGGTATTCTTTTTCATATTCCTTTCCATTATGGTTTATCACAGGATATCGAAGAGTGTTCCCTGTGCTATACAGTAGGACCTTGTTGTTTATCCATCCTATATACACTAGTTTGCATCTGCTAATCCCAAACTCCCACTCCTTCCCTCCCCTACCCCCCACCCCTTGGCAACCACAAGTCTGTTCTCCGCGTCTGTGAGTCTGTTTCAATTTCATTGATATGCTCATTTGTGTCATATTTTAGATTCCACATATAAGTGATATCATATGATATTTGTCTTTCTCTTTCTGACCTACTTCACTTACTATGATAATCTCTAGGTCCATCCATGTTGCTGCAAATGACATTCTTTCATTCTTTTTTATGGCTGAGTAGTATTCCGTTGTATATATGTACCACATTTTCTTTATCCAGTTATCTGTCAATGGACATTTAGGTTGCTTCCATGTCTTGGCTTTTGTAAATAGTGCTGCTGTGAACATAGGGGTGCTTGTATCTTTTCAAGTTAGAATTTTGTCTGGGTATATGCCCAGGAGTGGGATTGCTGCAATTCTATTTTTAGTTTTTTGAGGAACCTCTATACTGTTTTAGGTAGTGATGCACCAGTTTACATTCCCATCAGATAAGGTGCCTTTAAACAGAAATACACATAAACCAAGGTGATGCATTGATCAGTTGATGAAAATGTGACCAGAGGCTCCCAGGAACCAAACCTGTATTCCCCCATAGGAACATTTGTTCACATTCGATAATTCAGTGTTTCAGGTGACCCTATAGAACATAATTACCAAGAATAAGGAAAATTGACTGACCTTGACATTTTCTGCCTTTTTTTTTTTGCATAGATAGTGGTTGCCATATATACCATTCTGCACCTCGAATTTTTTACTCGATATTTTAGAAATCTATCCATATTGCTAAAGATCTTCCTCATTCATTTCTCTAAATCCTTTTAAATCTTCTATGCATTGCTCTATAAAATGGACATGAGCACACACCAAATGACGATAAAGCAAACTTTGAATATAAAATACAGAATTCAGGGACTTCCCTGGAGGTCCAGTGGTTATGACTCCGCTCTTGCACTGCAGGGGGCGCGGGTTCAATCCCTGGTGAGGGAACTGAGATCTCTCGTGCCACGCAGTGTGGCCAAAAAATAAAATAAAATACAGAATTCATTTATCCGTTCATGTATTTAAGACCTGCTTGGTGTCAGGTGGTGGTATAATTTGACATAAGGTTTTTAAGCTAGATTCCTTTTTTTTATTATCTTATTTTTTTAATTGAAGTATAGTTAATGTACAATGTGGTGTTAGTTTCAGGTGTACAGCAAAGTGATTCAGTTATACATACATATACATATATCTATTCTTTTTCTGATTCTTTTCCATTATAGGTTATTACAAGATATTGAGTATAGTTCCCTGTGCTATACAGTAGGTCCTTGTTTAAGCTAGATTTCTAAGGGGCTAGTTCAGACCACATGTCAGGACCCTGAGCCTCGCTGATCTGTGTCTCTGCTGCCCCTTAGCCATGCTGCGGATGGTCTCGGCCGTTCTCCAGTTTGGCAACATTGTCCTGAAGAGAGAACGGAACACCGATCAAGCCTCCATGCCTGACAACACAGGTACCACCACATGGCCTGCTACCCACCTACGTACAGAGCATCCTCCCTTCCCAGCCAGACCCACCTTCCATCCAGGACCACCCTGATTTCCTGCCCTTTGCTGAATCTTTACCAAAATAACACCGTCCACTCTTTTCTTGATTATAAAAAGTGTGAGCTCTGCTGAAAATTTGAACAACACCAGTGTGCCAAGGTGGAAGGGGGCGCGGACAGCAGGATCCTCTATCATCCCAGCCCCTCCCAGAAAACCAGCATTAGCACTGGCCATATCTCCTGGCCTCTGCACTCTGCATTAGCACTGGCCATATCTCCTCCTGGCCTCTGCGCTCTGCATGTATATACTTTTGGGGGTTTTTTGCCTTTCAGCAGAAGTATAGTTGATATTCCTTTTTTTATCAAAATGGAAATAGCTTTGCTTCTTTATTATTATAAAATAATACAATCTGAATGGGGAAGAAAATATGGCAAGACAGGGAAGTATAAAGGCAGGGAAATTACCCATAATTACTGCTAACACTTTGGGGGCATGTCTCTCTGGGCTTTGTTCTACGTCTGTGTCAATGTGGAAATAATCATCACAGAAATGGAATCTTGCTTTACACCGCCTTCCCCTCGAGATGGGAAGAGCTTTCTGTCCTGATTATGACACCCTATGGGCTGTTTTCAAAAGCTGTGCAGCACAGAACATATGAAGGAAGGAGCATCTCTCACGATGTCACTGATCTGAGCTGTCCCTGTGACATCCGGGGGCCAGGTTCACACACGCAGCAGTTGTGCCATACATACTCATTCGTTTGATTTACAAAATTGGGGTCAGACCTTATAAACTGTTTTGAAACCTGCTTTCCCCCCACCCCCTTAATGCAATGGGGGTAACTTTTCAAGGTTATTAACTAGAACTCTACTGGGGTTGCTTCACCTGGGCTCTGTGAGGAGAACTGTATGTCAGTATAATTAATCTCCTTTGGAATCCCTTGTATTTCCTTTTCTGCATTTGCAAACATTAATTGGAGAAGCAGCCCCCAGGCTCCACCGGCTGGCAAAGTACACACCAAGGGCTTAGAACCCTGTTAAGTCACCCTGTTACTGGCAGCATAGTACTCCATGCTGTTTTTTCAGTTTTTAAATATTCCCATATAATGCAAAATCACTGTAGAAGAATTAGAAATTGCAGTTGCATCAGAGGGAGGGGGGGAGAGAGAGAGAGAGAGAGAGATTGATTTAAATCCTCATCACCTCTCAGAAATAACCACTGTTGACATTTTAATGTGTCTCTTCCTCAGTGTTTTTCTCTTTTGCTGGAGCTGAGTATTTGTAGTAACTATCTTCCTGTGACGCAAGTGATAGAGGCTCAAAAACACTTCTTAATGATCATTTTAATTCAGAGACGAAAGAAGAAATACACCTGCCCACACAGCCCTTCCTCCATCTTCTGCCAAAACAGCTATTAACATTTTGGCAATTTTTTATTCCTACAAAAATAGGGAAGAGCAGTGAATTTTTAAAGATTTCTTTTAGGTTTGGCCACCTCACTGAACTCTTATTCCAAGAGTTTTCCCCCAGCATTTTATTGAGACATTTTCCAACATACAGAAAAGTTCAAAAAATTTTATACCGAACACCCAGATCCACCACCAAGATTCTACCACTGACACTTTACTACGCTTGCTTTATCGAATATCTTTGCATCCTCTGTTCATCCGTCTCCTTTTCTGGCGCGTTTCAAAATCTCAGATATTGGTACAGACCCTTCAGCCTGTATATCATTTACTGGCATCCAATGTTTGTTTACAGTTCTTTCATGGACTGGAAGTGAAACATACAAATCATGAAATGTACATGTCTTAAGTGTACTGTGTAATAATTTATAATGATTATTTAGTAAATAATAATTATTTATAATGCTTATATTATTAATTATAATGTTATAAATAATTATTATTTATAATAATAATATTTAGTGACTGCAGAACATTTGTTCAAATGGATGCACCCTGACTCTCTAACCAATCCCTAGCTGTTGGACATTCAGGTTGCTTCCTGGTTTTCCCCATTGTAAACAGTGCTGTGACGGACATCCTCCTAGTCCAGCTTTTGCCCACATCCAGAATTATTTTTGCCAACTTAGGGTTCCAGGAGGAGAATTATTGGGCTGGAGAATGCACACACCTTTAGGACCCGTAATGCCTCTAGCGGGAAAGGCTGGTGTTCCACCAACAGTGGGGGGTGGCACCCTCTCCCCCCTCCCCCACTCTGCACTGTCCCCACCTCCCAGTGCTGATCGCATCTTGGTGCCTCTCGCCCTCAGCTGCGCAGAAGCTCTGCCGCCTCCTGGGCCTGGGGGTGACAGATTTCTCCCGCGCCCTGCTCACCCCCCGCATCAAAGTTGGCCGGGACTACGTGCAGAAAGCACAGACCAAGGAACAGGTGGGCAAGGCTGGCGGCAGGTGGGCGCAGGGAGGGCCCTGGATTTTTAAGCAGCTTATGCCAGTTTTTTCTCGCTCACTCAACAAACTTTTGCTGAGTGTCTGTTCAGTTACCGACTCTGGTCTAGGCGCTAGAATAAAGGCAGTCATGGAAACAAAGACCACGCCTTCAGGGAGCTCAGGCTGTAGTAGGGAATCAGATAATAAAGGAAGAAACGGGTGCTTTCTTCAAAGGAGGGGATTGAGGTGCTCGGGAAAGTCTTCTCGGAAGAGGTGACATTTGAGTTGAGACTTGGATGGTTCAAGACAAAGGGAATATAGCATGTGTAAAGGCCCTGGGGCTGGAACAAGCTTGGCAAGTTGGGAACGTTAAGGAGATCAGTGAGACTAGACAGTGGGGGAGAGGGTGGTAGAAGCTGGAGTCAGAGAGGTTGGAAGGGGACAGATCACATGAGGTCTTAGGAGCCACAATAAGGAGGTGAGTTTTATGCAGAGTGCAGCAGGAGGCCAGTGAGGATTTAAGCCAGGGAATAACTTGGTTCAGTTTGTCTTTATAAAGATTCCCTTGTCTACTGTGTGGAGAATTGGGTCCAGGGGGACCCAGTGGAAGCAATGAGACACAAGGAGGCCACTGTCACAGTGCCGGCAAGCGATGAGAGCAGCACAGATAAGCGTGGTGGCAGTGAGGGTGGGGAGAGGTGAACACAGACTAGATGTTTTCAGAATTCCAGTTTTGGGGCAGAGGCCTCTGCCTGACCCCAGGCTGGGCTCTCGAGGTGCTAGGACAGAGGAGGCACAGTGACGGATATGAGCTTGGGGATCACACTGACCTGGGTTCTGCTGTCAGTCAAGGTACTATTGATAGGATCCATTTTACAGATGAAGACACTGAGGCACAGAGAGGTTTATTCACATGCCTGAGGTCACACAGCCTCTAAGTAGCAGAGCTAGGATTCCAATCTAGATGTTGGTCTCCAGATTCCACCCTCTTACCTGTTCTGCCGTGGAAATTGGTTCAAGGGTTGGGTGGAATATTCATGAACTAATGTGCCCCCAAGCACTTCACACAGTGCCCGACGCACAGTAGGGCGTCACTAATGATCTGCTGTTGTTAATGTCGCTGCTCTTGACGAACCATGATGGGGCTCCGTCCACACCCAGTGTCTCCCTGCCGGCAGGGCGGGGTCGGGGGGCACTAATGTGCAGGCTGGGCCCTCACTGTGTGCCCTGACCTGCAGGCTGACTTTGCGCTGGAGGCCCTGGCCAAGGCCACCTACGAGCGCCTCTTCCGCTGGCTGGTCCTGCGCCTCAACCGAGCCCTGGACCGTAGCCCCCGCCAAGGCGCCTCCTTCCTGGGCATCCTGGACATCGCTGGCTTTGAGATCTTCCAGGTCTGCGCTTTGTGCCTGGCTGGGGGCTGGGAGGGCTCCATCACGCTGGCCCTGTCCCCCTCTCTCTGGGTCCCTGTCCGCCCCTCCCTGGGTCTCTGCCCTCCTCTCTATGGGTCCCTGTTCCCCCCGGGTTCCTGCCCACTCCGGGTCCCTGTCCCCCTCTTTCATGTGTCCCTCCCCCCCGCAGCTGAACTCCTTCGAGCAACTCTGCATCAACTACACCAACGAGAAGCTGCAGCAGCTCTTCAACCACACGATGTTTGTCCTGGAGCAGGAGGAATACCAGCGCGAGGGCATCCCCTGGACCTTCCTCGACTTCGGCCTCGACCTGCAGCCCTGCATCGACCTCATCGAGCGGCCGGTGAGCCCACGGCTGCTCTACCCTCCACGTGACCTTGGTCCAGCTCCTCACCCCACCGGCCTCAGGCCTCTCCATCGGTTAAATGGGGAAAACGGCATAGATCCTTGTGGCTGCTGGATGATTAGAACCCAGAACATGCCTGCCACAGGGCGTGGCTCGAATCAAAGGGCTAATCGATGGCTATAACGGTTGTTCTCGTGTTTGCTCGTAGGTCCCAAGTGGCACAAGAACTAAAAATTAGCAGCAACCTAAGTGTCCAGTATTTGGGGATCTGACTTAACTCTTCTGTCCTCCTCTGTTAATGGTCAGGCCAACCCCCCTGGGCTCCTCGCTCTGCTGGATGAGGAGTGCTGGTTCCCAAAGGCCACAGACAAGTCCTTTGTGGAGAAGGTGGCCCAAGAGCAGGGTGGTCACCCCAAATTCCAGCGGCCAAGGACTCTGCGGGATCAGGCCGACTTCAGCGTCCTGCATTATGCGGGCAAGGTAGGGAGCAGGGGCCAGCCTTGGGGGCTGTGGGTGGGAGTGAGGATGAAGGGAGGGTGCAGAGGGAAAGCAGGGGCCACCTGGTGTCCACTGGGACAAGTCACAGCCAGGCCAGGGGTAGGAAAGCCCTTGGAGGAGTGAGGACTCTGTCTGATGAAGTCAGCAAAGGCTTCCTCGAGGAGGGGATATTTGCAGTGGGTTTCGAGAGATGGATAGGAGTTCACCAGGTGGAGAATTAGGTGCATTTTATTCACTCATTTGGCCAACATATGCCTTTTGTGGGCTCAGCCCTGTGCTGAGCAAAGCTGGGGACCCACGTCAGATATGATTCTGTCCTCACAAAGTTCCTTATCTGGGAGGGAGACGAAGACAGACCATCGGGATATAAGGCCGATAAGTGCTTTAATGGGGCCAGCTATGGACAGTGTCAAAGTCCAGAGGAGCAATCCCAGGGAAGGTCTCACAGGGGAGAGTGATGCTTGATCTGAACTCTAAATCAAGGTCAGCAAACATTTCCTGTGAATAGTTTCAGTTCTGTGGGCCAGTCTCTGGCGCAGCTACTCAATTCTGCCATGAGAGCACGAAAGAAGCCACAAGTTCACACATAAATGAAGGCCGTATTCCAATAAAACTTCATTTATTTTATTATTTTTTAAATTATCTATCTATTTAAATTTACTTATTTATTTTTGGCTGCATTGGGTCTTTGTTGCTGCACGCAGGCTTTCTCTAGTTGCGGCAAGCGGGGTCTGCTTTTCGTTGTGGTGCGCGGGCTTCTCATTGCAATGGCCTCTCTTGTTGCAAAGCACAGGCTAAGCACACAGGTGTCATGGCGTGCGGGCTCAGTAGTTGTGGCTCGCAGGCTCTAGAGCGCAGGCTCAGTAGTTGTGGCACACGGGCTTAGTTGCTCCGCGGCATGTGGGATCTTCCCGGACCAGGACTCAAACCCGTGTCCCCTGCATTGGCTGGCAAAGTCTTAACCACTGCGCCACCAGGGGAGTCCTATTTATTTATTTTTGGCTGCGTCGGGTCTCAGTTGCCACACCCTGTGCGGCCTCTTTGTTGTGGCGGGCGGGCTTACTTGGCCCGCGACACGTGGGATCCTAGTTCCCCAACCAGGGATTGAACCTGCGTCCCCTGCATTGGAAGGCGGATTCTTAATCACTGGACCACCAGGAAGGTCCCTAAAACTTTATTTATAAAAGGAGGTGGATTTGGCCGGGAGGCCATTGTTTGCCAATCCCTGGTCTAAATGATGAGTAGGGACTTCCCTGGTGGTCCAGTGGATAAGACTCCATGCTCCCAACGCAGGGGGCCTGGGTTTGATCCCCGCTCAGGGAACTAGATGCTGCATGCCACAACTAAGACCTGGTGCAGCCAAATAAATAAATATTTTAAAAAATAATAATAAAATAAATGATGAGTAACCCGTAGCCAGAAAAGAATGGGTGGAGGGGACGGCATACACAAAGGCTGAGGGGTAGGAGACCCATGTGTTCTGTTCTAGAACTCAGTTGTTTTCCAGACATTTGCTAAGATTTCCTGTGTGCCCAGTCCTCTGCTGGTTGTGAGTCAGACTCAGGCCCTGGCCTCTGGAAGCCACCGTCTGGTGGGGGGGAACGCGTGCAGGGAATCGTGGTGGTCAAGACTGTGATTCCATGGAAGGGAGCTGGCCACGTGAAAATCCACGGAGAGGGAATCACAGGTGGCGGGAACGGCAGGGGTCAAAATCCTGAGGTGGAAATGAGCTTGCACGTTTGAGGACCAGAGTGGCTAAATGAATAAGGAAAGAAGTGTTGGTGGATGAGGTCCCAGAGGTGGGCAGAGTCCTCTTAAGGGAAATACAGAAAGGGAGAGGGACCATGCTGCGGGTGGGTGCAGTTCAGGATATGGGCACAAGGTGTCCACCAGTGCTCTCTCCTGAGTGGTGAGCCCCAGAGCTGGGAATCTCAGAGCTTCTGGGAGGCTCCCTGGGAAATCAGCAGTGCTGGTGAACCCACCATCCCGCCACCCTCCTGTGCCCAATTTCATTCAGGTTGACTACAAGGCCAATGAGTGGCTGATGAAAAACATGGACCCTCTGAATGACAGTGTCGCAGCCTTGCTTCACCAGAGCACAGACCGGCTAACGGCAGAGATCTGGAAAGACGGTAAGGACCAGCTTCCGCAGGCCCTGTCCCTGGAGCTCTGTGCATCCCTTCTCCCAACTCACAGTGTGAACACTTTTGTTCCAGACCTGAGTTGTCAGCTCAGAGGCAGAACTGGTGCCAGTAGGCCAGACAGCCTTACAGTAGTGATTCCAATTAGTGATTGCTTGATTGATATCTCAAACCAGCATCACACTCAATGATAAAACACTCCTCCTTAATCAGAAAAAGACAAGGATGCCCACTGTCAACACTACTGTGAAACACTGTTTTGGCGATAATAGTTTATGCAATCAGACCAGAAAAAGAAATAAGTATGTGAATATTCAAAAGGAAGCAATGAAGTTATTAATTGTAGATGGCCTATGATCCCTAAAAAAAAAAAATCAAGAGATTCGACTGAAAAAGAATTAATAACAACAAGAGAACTCAGAAGGGCAGTATTTACAGGTTAGTCAACTTTTAGGCTTTGCTTTCGTTGATCTCTTCCAAAGTTCCCTTCAGGGATTCAGGGAAGAAAAAAAAGAGCAAAAACCCAGGTATAGTTTTGGAGTTTTCCTGCTCCAACAAGGCCCGTGTGAGTTTGGCCATCAGTCTTTTCAGACTGACACTTTCAGACCAGCAAGCCCTGTCCATCCTTGCCCTCCATCCTTACAGGAGGTTTGAGAGATGATTTTATAAAACGGACAGAACCAGCATCTTGGTTTCCTGATTCTGGGTTTCCAGAATCTGTCAGTTTGCCTTAATCTTTTATTGAAATGAAAAGCATAGTAGTAGAAGCGCCAGCCCATGCAATTGGACAAGAGAACAAAATAAGCAAGATGAGTCATTCCCAAAACAAACTCACAGAGCGAAAGGGCATAGCACACCTAGATATGGTGAGCTGATTTTAGACAGGGAAATTTGATGCTAGTATCTCATATAGTTTATACAAGAGGGATTGAAAAGCATTGTTTGCTGTTCAGTAACAGAACCAGATTCTGCCGAGAATCATCTCCTTCAGACTGAAAATCTTCCCTGTCAACTTCTTTAAAATTTGTGCCATGTTCATGGGCACATGATGTTCCCCCTAATCCTTCACATGCTCCACCCTATATATGCTCAGCTCTCAAAGTGTTCCAAGAGAGAAAGTAGAAGTGGCAAAGCCTCTTGAGTCCTAGACTGGAACCCCACACAGTATTATTTCCTCCACAGTTCTTCCGAACAAAGCAAGTCACAAGGCCAGCCCAGATTCAAGGAGCTGCAAGTCACAGAGAGGGGTGGGGGACTGGGGCCATTTCTGCATCAATCTCTACTACAGCTGCCCTGAGCCCAGAGTTGGCTTTGCTTTCAGGCATCCTGACAGCGCAGAGTTGGGTACCCAACATCCTGGAAGCCCAGGGGAAAAGGCAAATGAGACAAACGCTCTTCAACAAGCTGGGTGGGAGCCTTGAGTTAGTGCTTGAGCTTCCTGGTGGCCAGGGCAAAAGGGGATACCTAATAAAACAGATACAGACTCAACCTGTAGGGAGAGAAGTTTTTTCCCCCCGGGTATTATATTCGCAGGGGACATTCGCCCTTTCAACCAACATTGATGCCCTCATAAAGCTGAACAGGACAGTCTCCCTGGCTATAAAAGTTCATGGCCAGGATCAGGTTCCTCCTCCTGCTTTGCTCTGTGCTGTTGACTAATAACCCTTTCTTCTTTTTTCTTCCTGCCTCTTCTCATGCTGCTCCCTTTGCATCTGCCATCCCATCTCCCTGCCTCTCCCCCCGTCTGTCCTCACCCCCACCCAGAACACGGGGGCTTGCAGCAGTTCTCTTTCCTGGGCTCCTTCCCACCGTCGCCCCCAGGATCTTCAGGGAGGCGCGGCTCTGCCATTTCTCCGCCAGGGGGTGGGTGTTGCTGTGCACCAACGGGTGAGACTTGCCAGACGAGGAGGGTGGGCCCTTTGGACCGGGAACCTGGTTTTGAACGTCCATCCCCTTTCCTTACCATACAGAGATCTTTCCCTCTTCTTTCCTGTCCCCACCCCTTGTTGGCTCCCTTAGCAGTTTCCAGACTCTTTGTAGGAGCACAAGGCCTTCTTCTAACTAAACCGCATGTAAAAGTGCAAACAACTGTGATAGTATCAGCTGGCACTAATGGAACCCGTTCTGTGTGCTGTGCACTGTGCAAAGCCCTTTCACCATTATTAACACGTGGAATCCTCTGAACAACCTAATCAGGCAGCTGTTAGTACTGTTACCCCTGTTATACGGATGAGGACATGGAAGCACAGAGAGGTTAAGTCACCTGCCTGTGGTCACACAGCCAGTAAGGGACAGAGCTGGGATTTGAACCCAGAGCCTCTGCTCTTACCTGTGCTATAAGAACTTAATAAATGATAATTAGCCTTTTGATAATAACTAGGAGCATGGCGGTAGGAGGGAGACTTGAACCTGGGGAGGAAAAATGCCATATCTGAGCCCCCACTGTGTGCCAAGCACTGCCCTCAGAGCGAGTTGTCTAGTTGACCGTGATAACCCTCGTGATTGGGGATTGCAGGCCATCAGATTCTGCCCCAGCTGCAGGTTCTTGAGAAACTGGGAAGGATTCAGTACATAGAATTTGAGACAAAGGAGTGCATGTTTCTCACTAGTTGAAGTGACAGCATCAAATGACAATAGGGAAAAAAAATTATCATGAAATCAGGCCTTTCTGGGAAAATGGTGACTATGGAGGCAGTTTGCCTTATTTTATTTTATGTTTTTTCATTTCTTTTTATTTATGTATTTTTAATTTTTTGCCTTATTTTAAACATTGCCTTATTTCAAATATCGTAATAAAGCCAGACTTCATTACATTGTTAATGTGACACTGTTTCAAGTTCCTGAAAATGCAGCTGTGGTTATCGCCCTTTTCCCTCTCTGTGCCTCAGTTTCCTCATCTATAAAATGGGAATGATTTTTATAGGCTTGTAAATAAGCTGATGTATGTCAAGTGCTTTGAGCAGTGCCTGGCAGAGAATAAGTGCTAAGGAAGCATTTTCTATCTTCATCATCATCATTTGCTGATAAGGAAAATGGAAAAGAAGGGTCAGAGACCAGGGTTCGAGAAGATTCATACTGCCTGGGTTCAGATCCTGGGTCTTCAGATCCTAAGCTGTGTGGCCTTGGGCACAGTCTTCCATCTTTCTGAGCCTCAGTTTGCTGGTCAGTCCAGTGGGCTGATAACACCTACCTTACTAGGCTGTGAGAGGTGTTTCATATGTAAAGTGCCAGGTCCTATAAATAATAAGATCCTTGACCTTTGGCCAACCCAGCCCCCTATAACTGACCTTTGACTTTACTCTCTCTCTACATCTGTTTCCTCCTCCCACAGTGGAGGGCATCGTGGGGCTGGAGCAGGTGAACAGCCTTGGGGATGGCCCACCTGGTGGCCGCCCACGCCGGGGCATGTTCCGGACGGTGGGACAGCTCTACAAGGAGTCCCTGAGCCGCCTCATGGCCACACTCAGCAACACCAACCCCAGCTTCGTCCGCTGTATCATCCCCAACCACGAGAAGAGGGTGAGTGACCCAGCCCGGGGAGGGAAGGCAGCTCTGGCAGTGGGTAAAGTCCCAGTCGCTGGATGTGGCTGGAACCATGTCTGGCCCCAGGCTCACTTCTGACTGGCTGTGTGACCTCGAGCAAGTTGTTTTCCCTCCCAGGCTCAATGCGCTGTTAGGAAAATTCATTCATTCATAGGACTTAAGTTTTACTGAGCACCTACTAAGTGCCAGGTAGTGGGAATACAGTGAAGTCAGGGAGGGCTCCCTGGAGAAGGTGAGGTCTGAGCTTGGAAGGATAAGTGGCATTCTAAGCAGAGAACAGCTTGTGCAGAAGCCCAGTGGTTGGTTGGAGCATGAAAGGTACAAGGGATGGAAAAAAGACCGTTGGAGCCGGGAGTGTCATGTAAGTGTGGGGCGACCATGCCTGGCCTCCTAGGCCACCAATAAGTTTTCTTGTTGGGAAAATCAGAGAATAGGCCCTGTAGAGAAGGGTCAGCATAGTAAAAGGTGAAACTAGGTGCCTGGGGCTTATACTGTCCTCAGAAAGCAGGAGCTGTGGTTATTGAGTAGGTGGATCTGTGTGTTTCTCATAGCTGTAAATACCATATTTTATCAAATCTAAGACACCTTTATAGTGACATTTTAGCATCTCTGAAGTTGGGATGTGGCTTACAATCAAAGGCCTGTCCGAGTTTAATTGACAAGAGCTTTTCTTTCTTGGTAGTATATAAGATAACAGCGTGTTTTACAATTGATAGTGGCTTTTATTTGATGAAATACGGCATACATGGACTCAGCCACTTCTCCAAAGAGCCTTAGTGGAGAATGGTGCTTACAATCTAAGATCTGGGTGCTCCATGGTATCAAGGTGTCACTCCCAGGACCTGTCAGTAAATAGAGCTATGTACGTACACACTAATGTACATGCCTGCATACACATATGTATATACATGTACACACATATGTGTACATACACGTAAACATCTATGTTTATTTCTATAACTATCTTTATTGAAAACTATGAGTTCCCACCAGTATGTCAAGTTCCAGTCCAACATCTCTTTTTAGCAACAATGAGGTCCTGTAATATAGCACACATTTACTAGTTTTCTCAGTCCCCTTTTACGTAATCAGTCTCCTGACCTTGCTGGGCACCTCCCCACTCAAGCCTGCCAAATGTCTTGTTGAAGGGTGGAATGGAGGAAGGAAGGAGGAAAGGAAGGATAGAAGGAAGGAAGGAAGGAAGGAAAGGAGGGAGGGAGGGAGGGAAAAAACCAAAATGTTACTGTGAGACCATCCTATATATTATTTCCAATTTCCAGCTACTTTCAGCCATTTCCTTGGGGCTCTTTTGAGAGAGCCACTAAGATGGCTTAAGCAAAAGTGAGAATGTATCAGGAATTCCCCGGCGGTCCAGTGGTTAGGACTCCACGCTTTCACTGCCGAGGGCCCGGGTTCCATCCCTGGTTGAGGAACTAAGATACCACAAGCCACAGGGCACGGCCAAAAAAAAAAAAGTGAGAATGTATAGATTCACGTAATTGACGATTCCATGATTAGGTTCAGGCACAGTTGGATCCAGGTGCTTAAACGGTGACGTCAGGAATCTTTTTCCTCTGCTTGGCTCTGCTTTTCTGTGTGTTGCCTCCTCTCCGATGAATCTCTGTCTCCATTCTCAGGGTGGCACGGCAGCCACCAATGGCTCCAGACTTTCATTCTTTCAGTTCAGCAACCCTAAAGGAAAGAGAGAGCCTCTGGCAGCATGGATGTAGCAGAAGTCCCAGGGCTGGCTTTCACTGGCCTAGGATGGCTCTTGTGCCCACCCTTGAACCAGCCTGATTGGCCTGGCCTGAGTCACATGACCATGTCTGGAGCCAGGATGAGGTCAGTCCTAGCCACTCATGGACTGAGAGCATAAGGGGAGGAATAGGGCCCTCCCTCTCACAGAATGGAAGTGTTATTACCAAGGAATAGGGAACATATATAATAATAAATAAACAGAAACTCCCTTTTTGCTGGGACATAAACATTCTGAGGGCAGGGGCTTTTATCTCCTTTTTTACTGCTGAGTCCCCAGTGCCTAGAACACATTGTGTGGCAGACAGTGAGTATTCAATAAACATTTGATGGATGAATAAGTACATATATGCTTAGATAGCCCTTGGAAAAGATACAGAATGGTGGTTCTCATTTTTTAACCCTTGTCCCCACCAGATATTTATATTCTGCCCTAGCCTGGGGCCATGGCTCTTTTTTTTTTTTTTTTTTTTTTTGGTTTTGGTTTTGTTTGTTGTTTGTTTTTGCTTTTTTAAGCATGTGAGGGGACTCCAGTGTGTAGTCTGGGTTGAGAACAACTGATCTAGAAGGCTCCATAAAAACCTGGGTATTGTGTTGACCACTCTGGGGGCCTGGGCAAGGCAAGAGTTGTTTTTCAGAATGTGTAATTTGAATTTTTTTGTAGTGTTTAGATTTTTACCATTTGTGTATTACTTTGGGGGAAAAAAAAGCAGGTAAGAGAAAGAAAAGGCAATGAAAGCTAACTACCAAAAATAATGATGTACGTGCTTTGTTCACACATCACCTTCCCAGACTGTCCTATGCAAATTCAGCACTCTCCGTCCTCCCTCCCCTCTGCTCTTTGCCCCTTAGCACTTAGTACTCATTTACTTCTGACGTTTGTGATGTCTTGACCTCATTTATTGTCGACCTCTCCCAGTGGATAGTGAGCTCCCTGGGGCAGGCATTTCTGCCTGGCATGTAGTAGGTGCTCAGTAAATTATAGGTTGAACCAGATGAAATTGCCAACCATTTTTGACCTGCCCAAACTGCCATCCACCTGAGTTCCCCTGACGGCTGCCATCCAGTGAGTGGCGCCCCCGTGTGGCAGCCACTGACCTCGCATGTCTGTGACTGCTCTTTGCAGGCTGGGAAGCTGGAGCCGCGGCTGGTGCTGGACCAGCTGCGCTGTAACGGCGTCCTGGAGGGCATCCGCATCTGTCGCCAGGGCTTTCCCAACCGCATCCTCTTCCAGGAATTCCGGCAGAGGTGAGCGGCATGGGGTGGGGTAGGGCTTGGGTGCCTGCATCCAAAGCACCCCAACTGCTACTTCTGGGAGGGGTCAGGGGTGGGGCCTCAGCGCCAGTGGAGGGGCGGGGCCTCTGGGCAAGTTTCTTTGGTTACTGAGTCTCAGCTTTCTCCTCTGTGATATGGGAGAGCAATGCCCCCATTCACTGGACTCCCCAAGAGAAAGGGCATAGAGTACTATGTTGAGATCTGGGTATCGCAACCGGCATTTCTTATAAAAATGCAGTCAAGGACTTCCCTGGCGGTGCAGTGGTTAAGAATCCACCTACCAAAGCAGGGGACACAGGTTCGAGCCCTGGTCTGGGAAATTTCCACATGCCACGGAGCAACTAAGCCCGTGCACCACAATTACTGAGCCTGCGCTCTAGAGCCTGTGAGCCACAACTACTGAGCCCACGTGCCACACCTATTGAAGCCCATGCACCTAGAGCCCATGCTCCACAACAAAAGCCACCGCAATGAGAAGCCTGCGCACCGCAACAAAGAGTAGAAGCCCGCGCACGGCAACAAAGACCCAATGCAGCCATAAATAAATAAATAAATAAGTTTATTTTTTAAAAAAACGCAGTCGAATAGGAGAGAAGGAAAAAATATCAACATATAATAAGCCAGTAATATGGTGAATATGATAACAAAAATTATGCTTCATGCAAGCTGTATATAGCAGCACCATGCAATAGAAAGAGAATGTGAGCCCCATATACAATTTAAAATTTTCTAGTAGCCATATTTTTTTTTTTTTTTTTTTTTGCGGTACGCGGGCCTCTCACTGCTGTGGCCTCTCCTGTTGCGGAGCACAGGCTCCGGACGCGCAGGCTCAGCGGCCATGGCTCACGGGCCCAGCCGCTCCGCGGCATGTGGGATCTTCCCAGACCGGGGCACGAACCCGCGTCCCCTGCATCGGCAGGCGGACTCTCAACCACTGCGCCACCAGGGAAGCCCCTAGTAACCATATTTTTAAAAGTAAAAAGAAACAGGTGAAATTAATGATAACAAGAGTTTATTTAACCCAGTACACCCAAGATATTAGATCGTTTTAACATGTAATCAATATAAAAAATTAGTAGTGAGACATTGTGCATTCTTTTATTCCTACCGAATCTTCGAAATTTGGTGTATGTCTTACACCTGTAGCACATCTCAGTTCAGACACTAAATTTCCAGTGGTCAAAGTGAAATGTAGTCCTATCAAAACAGTGAAATTGTGGGAACTCCCTGCGGTCCAGTGGTTAGGACTCCCTGCTTTTACTGCTGAAGGCACATGTTCAGTCTCTGGTTGGGGAACTAACGTCCCCACAAGACGAGAGGCCAAAAAAAAAGAAAGAAATTGTGTTGAACAGAAAAATATTTTACACTGCTTCAGTTTTGTTTTTTTTTTTTTTTTAATATTTATTGATTTATTTGGCTGTGCTGGGTCTTAGTTGCAGCATGCAGGATCTAGTTCCCCGACCAGGGATCGAACCTGGGCCCGCTGCATTGGGAGCGCAGAGTATTAACCACTGGTCCACCAGGGAAGGGAAGTCCCCCCTGCTTCAGTTTTTAAATTTAAATTTCACTTAGTTAAAGTGAAATGCAGTTAAAAATCCAGTTGCCCAATTGCCCCAGCCATGTTTCAGGGGCTCAGTAGTTGCGTGTGGCTAGTAGCTGCTGCACTGGACAGTGCAGGTCTGCAGTTTCATACTCAAAGTGTGGTCCCCAGGCCAGCAGCATCAGTGTCACCTGACAGCTTGTTGGGTATGCACATTTTCAGGCCCCACCCCAGACTTACTGAATTAGTATCTGCATTTTAGCAAGATCCCTGGTGACTGAGAAACTCTGATACACACACACACACACATACACATACACATTTCCCAATCACCAGTCCAAAAAAATCGCATATTAATATATGACATTAATATATAATATGTATATGTGTTTGTGCATATATGTTGTACATCTAATATGCATTATTTTTAATGAAATGTCAGGATCCAGGGAGAGGGCACAGCAGGAGAAAGGCTCTGAGGACAGACACGTGTGCTTATGAAACGTACTTTTAAAATTTGGAGTTGCACTGAGAAATGTGAAAGAAACAGCTGTAAAGCACTTAGCTCAGGACCTGACACGTAATAAGTTCAAGAGCATCAGCCCCTATTTGTTGTTATTCTCACACTTCCGAGACACACCTTGCCTTTACGTCTCAATGACCTATGGTGTTGGTGTAATTAAACACTCATAATCAGCACGTGGTGTGTCCTAGGAGTGGACACACCTAGGACATATTGATGATGTTGCCATTGGTGGTGGTATTAATGCTCTCTGCCTGGTGTGTGGCCCTCGGTAATACTTAAATATTTGCTTTTCTTACTGTTCCTATTGTTATTGTTATTATTGCTATTTGTCACTCTGAACCCAGTGCCTGGCCATGGTGACAGTTTGCTGTTACTCTTCACCCCTCCCCCACCCCTCCCCACCCACTTCAGGTACGAGATCCTGACACCCAATGCCATCCCCAAGGGCTTTATGGATGGGAAGCAGGCCTGTGAGAAGATGGTGAGTGTGGGGTGGAGGCTGAGGGTGTGTGCATGAGTGTGAACGTGTGTGCACAGTCTCAGGTGGTGGAGGAGGTTGAACTGGAGCCTCCCCTTTCATCACCCTTCCTCCTCATGGCCCCTCCCCCACTCTCACAGATCCAGGCCCTGGAATTGGACCCTAACCTCTACCGCGTGGGACAAAGCAAGATCTTCTTCCGGGCAGGGGTTCTGGCCCAGCTAGAAGAAGAGCGGGACCTGAAGGTCACAGACATCATTGTGTCCTTCCAGGCAGCTGCCCGGGGATACCTGGCTCGCAAGTGCGGCTCCCCACTATCTCTTGGGGTCACGTTGGCCAAGGCTGGTTCAGGGAGGGGTTGACCAGATGGCCCCAGAGGCTGGGTCAGGGAGGCTCCAGGATGGTAGAAGATCAATTGGCTCCAGATGTCAGGGCCTCCAGGATGGTAGAAGGGCTGAGAACAAAAGGATGGAGCCACTGGACGCCCAGGCTTCTTGGTTCTAGAGTCCCTGAGGCTTCTGAGCAATGCTGGGGACTCAGAGAAGAGCTAGACTCAGCCATAGGGTGACCAGCCATCCCGGTCTGCCTGGGACTGGAGGTTTCCCAGGATGCATGACCTGTGCTAAAACGGAGACAGTCCCAGGCCCACCAGGCCCGTGTGACCACCTGAGCGGCCAGCCCCTCAAGGGGCCCAGTCTGGAGGGGGAGACATACACGGCCTCAAAGTGTCACAGTCCAGGGCGAGATGTGCTTTGATGGGGGTCATACAGGTACAGCAAGAGGCCCTTCAGACCAGGTAGATGAGGGAGGATGGGAAAGGTGTTCCAGGCAGGAGTGACAGCTTGTGCCCAGGCCCAGCGATGTGAGAGCCTGGTACATTTCAGGAATGCAGGGAGTTTTCAGGACAGTCTCCTTCTCCCTTGGAACTGGCCCAGAGGAAGGATCAGAGAATAAAGGACTCCTCCAACACCAGGCAGAGGGGCAGGGACCATATCCAGGGGCACTGAGGAGCAGGAGAGGGGTGGGTCAGCTGTGGGCATAGAAAGCCCTCTCTGGAGGCTGGGAAGCTGGGGAGGTGGCTGGGGTGAGGGTCCAGTGGGTGGAAGATGAGGCTGGGGCTGAACTGGGGCTGGGGCTGTGGGAACAGAGAGGAGGGAATAGGGCAGAGAGAGTCAAGGGCAGAGAGACTGATAGACGGAACCCAACAAGATTTACTGATAATAGAGCAGTGCTTGCACACAGTAGGCATTTAATAATGGTTGACTAATTGAAGAGAGCTTTGCTCCCTTGCTAAGGGGACAGGGCCTGGAGCGGCTGAGTCTCCATTGTCCCACCCACCCATCTCCCCACCCAGGGCCTTCCAGAAGCGCCAGCAGCAGCAGAGTGCTCTGAGGGTGATGCAGCGGAACTGTGCAGCTTACCTCAAGCTGAGACACTGGCAGTGGTGGCGGCTCTTCATCAAGGTGAGGGCACCTGGAGAGGTGGCCCAAGTGGCAAGGAGACAGGTCCTTGGGGCCAGGTCTGCTTGGGCAAGTGACTTTCTTGGTTTGGGCCTCAGTTTTGTGCATCTGTAAAATGGGACTGATCAGCCCACCTTTTGTTCATCAGGATTCTTGAGGTAACAAGCGACAAAAAATCTGACTCAAACCAACGTGGTTAAAAGATACAGGACAAAAAAAAAAAAAAAAAAAAAAAGATACAGGACAGCTTTAGGTGCAGCTGGATCTAGGGTTGAGTTGAGGTCCCTAAGACCCCCTAGGATTCAATGATTCACTGGAAGGACTCACAGAACTTAGAAAAGCTGTTATGCTCATGGTTACAGTTTATTACAGTGAAAGGATGGACATTAAAATCAGAAAAGGTAAAAGGCGCACAGGGCAGAGTCCAGGAGAGACCAGACACGAGCTTCCAATTGTCCACTCCCAGTAGAATTGTACAGATAGGACTTAATTCTTGTAGAAATGCTGTATGACAGCACATATGGAATATTGCCAACCAAGGAAGCTTACCCAAGCCTTAGTGTCTAGGGTTTTCATAGGCATGTGATTGACCCCCTTGACTGTCCACGTGGTTGACCTTAGTTACTCCAGCCCCTCCAGAGGTCAAGGTAGACAAAGGACTCTTATCAGGCAGGATAATCCAAAGGTTTAGAGATGATCTCCCAGGAACCAGCCAAGGGCCAGTCCTTTCCTTGAAATATGCAGGGTTTGAACAACCCAGACCTGCTGAGTTAACCCTTTATCGCACAAGGGCCCAAACAATGTTAGTTATCTGACATTCTGTGCCTCCCATGTGACTTTCCTCCATGATGATCCCTGCAGACTTTTCCCACATGGCGGCCACCAACTAGGCCACTGTGGTCTTTTCTTATCACAGACTTCCAGCCAGAGTCCCAGGTTTCACTCTCACTGGCCTGGCTGGAGTCATATGACCATCCCAGAACCAGTCAGTACACATCAGATGAGCCAGGCCGGCATCACATGCCTCCCCAATGCAGAGGGGCAGAGCCAAGTGTGTGAGCTTCGAGGCAGGGTGTTCTCCCAATGGGAAATTGGAGAGCAGGAAGGAGGATGGAGATTTGGAGGCAAAAACACAGCTGTTCAGTGTAATTCTGAATATGACGTCTGAACTGTCAGCCTACACGCCCTCAGCCCATGTTAACTGAGCACCTACTATGTGCCAGTAACTTTTGAGGGTACAATAATAAAATGGTAAATAAAAACAGACAATGCCCCACCAACAAGGACGTACTGTATAACACAGGGAACTATACCCAATATCTTGTAATAATCTATAATGGAAAAGAATCTAAAAAAGAAAAAATATATATATGTTAGAATATATAAGAATATATATAGTTATATATAACTGAATCACTATGCTGTGCACCTTAAACTAACACAACATTGTAAATCAACTATATACTTCAATTAAAAAAAAATACAGTGCCCTGCCCCGTGGAGCCCACAGTTTAGGGCAGGGGTTGGTAAGCTATGGCCCATGGGCCAGACACCTGTTTTTGTAAATGCCCATTGGTTTGGTTACTGTATTGTCTGTGCCTGTTTTTGAGTTACAGCAGCTGAATGGAGTAGTTAAAACAGAGACAGGATAGTCTGCAAAGCCACAAATATTTCCTAGCTGGCCCTTTAAGAAAAAGTTTGCCTATCCTAGGTCTGGGGACAGGAGGTGTGGTTTGCCAGGTGTCACTGAAAAAAAATACACAACCTACAAGTTGAGAATTATGTTTTGTTTGGGGCTTTACTGAGGACTTTAGCCCCGGATACAGCCCTCAGATAGCTCTGAGGGACTGTTCCAAAGAGGTAAGGGAGGAGCCGGGATATATAGGAGTTTTGAAACAAACAAACAAAACCAGGTAGTCAAACATCAAGATTACTGCTAATTAAAGAAAAACCAGCCACCTTGAGTTAATGAATTTAGCGCTTTTCTCTGAATGGGAAGATGCAAGAGTCTGGGCTGAATGAAATTATTCCTTTGATATGCACCTTAATCCTTTGATATGACCTAGGGCCAGTATCCTGTTTTCCTCCATCCTGAATCCCCTCAGGGTGCACCGTTGGGGGCAGCTGCAGCGGCTCACAGCTTGATGGCCTCAACATCCTCTGTTTACTGATATGTCAGGCGATGTCCGGCAACATTCTTGGTCCACACAGGCATCAGTGAATGAATCCCACAAATAAACAGAAAGTTATAGTTGTGATAAATGCTATGAATTAGCTCAGAAAGGAAGATAATAAAATAGAATCAAATACAGTAGAGAAGTTGAGAAGAATCGGAGTTGAGGAGAACCAAAGAAAAGCAATAGAACAGATGTGAGCAGAGTATATCCCGCTTAGCAAAGGGGAGGGTGGTTTGGTGAAACTTTCATTTTGGTTATTCATGTGGTGGGGGGGGCTGGCCTGTCACTCCAGCCTGGAATCACACAGTGTAAAGTGCATCTCTCACTATGGACCTTGGACCGAGAACTTTGAGGCACAGTGTCTCCTGTAGGCCAAGGGACCCTGTAGCAAAAAAGGGACACATTTAGTGCTGCTTGTAATGTACCCCGGACTGTTCTAGGCTGTTGGCAAATGTGAAGTCATTCACTCATTCCGACTGATGAGGTCACAAGGCCAGTAGTAGAGGAGCTGAAATGCGAACCCAGGAATGCGGCCCTGCTCAGAGTGTGAGTTCTTAGCTCCTGAGCCCAGCGGCCTCCCACGGTGGGAGCCAGTCACCCACCATCCCTCCTGTCCCCCTAGGTGAAGCCACTGCTGCAGGTAACGCGGCAGGATGAGGTGCTGCAGGCACGGGCGCAGGAACTACAGAAAGTGCAGGAGCTGCAGCAGCAGAGTGCCCGCGAGGTGGGCGAGCTCCAGGGCCGGGTGGCGCAGGTAAGGGGCGAGGTCCCCGGGTGAGGGCGTGGCGGTGGGAGGAGCCGATGGTGGGCGGGGCTTCCAGCTGAGCTGGGTCGGGGGCAGGGGTAGGTTGCGGGCTGGCGGAGAACCGAGGTTTACTGGGGCCGAATGGGGGCGGAAACTGGTGTGGTTGAGCAGCGAGATGCTGGGAGCCTGGCCCTGGGGATGTAGCCAGGGTATTGAGTGGGGGTGGGGCTGGTTGCTGCAGAGCCAAGATGATCAGGAGGCTGGTCCAGCATCGGGGCAGGGCAGGGGCTGGGCTATCCTACACAGGCGGTGGACTTTTAACTGTTGCCAGTATTTCTGGAATCTTAAAATAACGCTGAAGCAAACCCCTTCTTGAGCATTTTTCTGTTTGTTTTTTCAGAATTATTTCCTTTGGTTAAATTTCTAGGCGTAGGAGTATTAAATGCACTGTGAGCTGATAGAACGTCCTCCCTGGGGCTATTTGGAGGATGGACTGGAGATGGAGAGACTGGAGGCTGGGAGAGCGGGTAGAGAGTCCATTGGGAGAGGATGAGGCTCAAGCCTGTTAGGGTCATGGGGAGAGAGGAGGGGGGCAGGAGGGATGGAGCTGGGGACTGATGGGCTGTAGGGAGGTGAGGGAGAGGGAGGCCCCCAGGGGTCTGACTTGGTGACTAGAGGTCATCCTGAGATGAAGAGCAGGGTGGGGGACTGTCTTCCATCTCTCCCTCCTGCCCCCCAGGCCTCAAAGGGCAAAGTAACTCAGCGGGCAGGAGGGACCTTGTGCTCCACTGAGGGCCATCCTGGGAGCACTACCTAACGGACGCTGACCTCCCACCCCATCCGCAGCTGGAAGAGGAGCGTGTCCGCCTGGCAGAGCAACTGCGAGCAGAGGCAGAATTGTGTGCTGAGACTGAGGAGACCCGGGGGCGGCTGGCAGCCCGAAAGCAGGAGCTCGAACTGGTGGTGTCGGAGCTAGAGGCCCGTGTGGGCGAGGAGGAGGAGTGCAGCCGCCAGCTGCAAACCGAGAAGCGGAGGCTGCAGCAGCACATACAGGTCTGGCCCCCGTGCGCCTGAGGCCGCCTCCCCCACCCCTTCTGTTTACCCCACACACCTTGCTTCAGCAAACCCTGCCTCTTTTGGCCATGAATTGGAAAAAATGAAACAAAACAAAACTCAGCTCCAGGTGTCTTAAGCAAAAAGAATACTCTTTTTTTTGGCTTTCGAATTAATGGGAGACTCTAGAATGTGTAAGCTTCAGGCATGGCTGGATCCGGGTGCTCAAGCAGTAGCTTCAGTACTCTGCCTCTCTCCATCTCCTGGCTCCATTTGCCTCTGTGCTGCTGCGTTCCAAGGCAGGCTGCCCTGCCATGGTTCCCCTTCAAAATCCATTGTGTATTTTACACTTAAGGCGCGTCTCAATTCAGATGCTCAATTTTCATTGGCAGGACTTCATCTGCATTTGTGTTTCATAACTTCTTCTGTGAAAAAAAAGTAGATTAACATCCCCACGTTGATCCAAACATACTTAAAAGTTCCCCAATAATTAATTGAGTGACTGGTTTTAAATTTAAAAGAAATCGAATTAAATTGAAAATTTGACTCCTCAGAATGGTCACATTTTTTTTTTTTTTTAGACTGGTCACATTTTAAGAATTCAGTAGTGCTTTAATCACCTCCTCTTGACCCCATTGGTGAGGGGGGCGGGGATCCTGCCCTGTGGTCATGGAGATGGCCTAACACACCACACCTGATCCTGGACAGATGCGATAGAAAGCACGTTATTAGTCACAAATATTCACAGCCTGAGGGAGGCAGACACCATGGCACAGAGAGTCACAGTGGGATTGCATTCAGGAATGGCATGAACAAGCTGCAGCTGTGAGAGGCAAGCCTAGTAGTAACAAGAGGATGAGGTGACCCCTGGTTCCTGCAGGAAGATGTGATTGGTTTGTTTATTTATTTATTTATTTATTATTGTTTGGCCGTGCCACACGGCATGCGGGACCTTAGTTCCCCGACCAGGGATCGAACCCATGCCCCCTACAGTGGACACGCAGAGTCCTAACCACTGGACCACCAGGGAACTCCCGATTGGTTTGTTTTAAATAATTCCAAGGACTAGCAGGTAACTGAAGCCTACTAGATAAGGATAAGCAGGTACCCTGTCTGGTCCCCAGGATACAGAGGGTTATTGGTTAGGGGACCTTATCTTTGGTAGCAGGGCAGGTAGAAGGACTTGTGATTAGGCCATTATAGGGACTCCCAATTTTATCAGCCATCAAGGCCACACGTAATATTGAATTTTTTAAAATTGAGGTGTAATTGACATTAACATTATATTACTTTCAGGTGTACACATAATGATTCGATATCTATAGACACTGCAAAGTGATCACCGCAATAAGTCTAACTTACATCCAGCACCTTAAGTAGTTAGAAAAAAATTTTTCTTGTGATGAGAATTTTTAAGATCTGCTCCCTTAGCAATTTTCAAATACACAATAAAGTATTATTAGCTACAGCCGCCATGCTGTACATTACATCCCCATGACTTATTTCATAACTGGAAGTTTGAGCCCCTTCACCCATTTCTCCCACCTCCCTACCCGCACACCTCTGGCAACCACCAATCTGTTCTCTGCATCTATGAGCCTGTGGGTTTTGTTTTGTTTTGTTGTGCCACTCAGCTTGCGGGATCTTAGTTTCCCGATCAGGGATTGAACCCAGGCCCTCGGCAGTGAGAGTGCCAAGTCCTAACCATCGGACCACCAGGGAATTCCCTGAGCTTGTGTTTTTCTGTTTTTTGGGGTTTTTTAAATTATTTATTTATTTATTTATTTTTGGCTGTGTTGGGTCTTCGTTGCTGCGTGTGGGCTTTCTCTAGTTGTGGCGAGCGGGGGCTACTCTTCCTTGCCGTGCATAGGCTTCTCATTGAGGTGGCTTCTGCCTGCTGTGGAGCACAGGCTCTAGGCACGCAGGCTTCAGTAGTTGCAGCAGTTGGGCTCAGTAGTTGTGGCACACGGGCTTAGCTGCTCCGCGGCCTGTGGGATCTTCCCGGACTAGGGATCGAACCCGTGTCCCCTGCATTGGCAGGCGGATTCCCAACCACTGCGCCACCAGGAGAGCCCTGAGCTTGTGTTTTTTTCTTGTTTTAGTTTAGTTTCTTAGATTCCACTCATAAGTGAGATTGTCTGGTATTTGTCTTTCTCTGTCTGACTTATTTCCCTTAGCATAATGCCCTTGAGGTCCATCCATGTCATTGCAAAATATTAAATCTTAATTTCCAGTCTCACACCACAAATCACCACACGTGCCTGGTGACTGCCGTAGCGGACAGTGCCCATCTCTGTGACATGTTTATTTATGATGTTTATTGTTTATAATCTTCACACACACATACAAGAATGTGATTTCAATGTGATAGACAAAGATTTTTATCTATCCTAATACCTCAAACAGTGCCTGGCCCCCACCAGGCACTCAATCAGTGTTTATTGACCCAATGAATGAAAAGTAAGCCTTGGATCCTTCCTAGCCCCACCCAGACTGTGGACCTGTCTGAGCCACGAGCCCCGGAGATCCGTGAACCATCCTTCCCAACACACGCCAGTCCCCAGCCGCTTGGTCCTCAACCCTGCCTTCTCCCCACTGCAGGAGCTGGAGACCCACCTCGAGGCTGAGGAAGGGGCCCGGCAGAAGCTGCAGCTGGAGAAAGTGACGACGGAGGCAAAGCTGAAAAAGTTTGGGGAGGATCTGTTACTCTTGGAAGATCAGAACGCCAAGCTGAGCAAGGTGGGTGGGCTGTGAGCCCCAAGGGCAGGGGGAGTGGGCTCACTGGTGAGCACAGGTCCTTCTCTGCATCCCCCCCAGCTTGCCCCACCTCTAGTGGTCTTCAAACTCTCGGTCTTGGCTGTGTCTCCTTTGAACCCTTTCCATCTCCTTGTGTCTCTGTCACAGCTTCACTCAAGCTGGTATTTATTGAGCAGCTATTATGTGACATTATCTATCTCTGGATCATCCGACACCCCAAAGCCGCATCGCTGAAAACAACCCCCGTTTCATTACATCCCATCGTTGTGTGGGTGGGCTGGACTGTGGTCCCCTTAGGCAGTCGCGATGACGTAGTGGCGGGCGCTGGAGGGCTGGTGTCCAGGTGCTCTTTTGTGTGACCTCTCTGCCCACGGGAGAGCCTGGGTTTCTCACCTGGCAGCTCAGGGCTCCCAGAAAAAGAAGTGGAAGTGGGCAGGTCTCTGAAAGGCTTAAGGCTGGAACTGACACGGCATCACTTCCCTTGAATTCTATAGATCAGGTGTTGGCAAACATTTTCTCTAGAAGGCCAGATAGTAAATATTCGGGCCTTGGCAGGCCACTCCGTTTCTGTGACAACCACTCAATTCTGCCATTGTAGCATGAAAGCAGCCACAGGTGGTCTGTGATCAAATGGGCGTGGCTGTGTCCCAATAAAACTTTATTTATAAACACAAGCAGTGGGCCATATTTGGCCTGCAGGCTGTGGTCTGCAGACCACTGAGCTTAAAGCAGACTCAGTCTAGATTCAAGCGTTGGGGAATAGACTCTGCCTCTGGCTGGGGACATGGTGAAGAGTCTGCCACCATCTTTAACCTGGCACAGCCAGGACTGGACTAGGCACAGGGGGTATGGCATTTAACTAACTAGAAAACCATTTCTGTCCTCACAGGGGCATGGGGGGAGAGGGAAGCTAGATGAGTCACCCCAGGAAATCAACATAACCACACATCATGAACTAATTATAAACTGTCAGAAAAGAACAGAAAACCATGGAAGTGGGGTGGCCTGACTTGTGCTAGGGGTAGTCAGGGCAGGCTTCCTGGAGGCAATGGTGCCTGAGTTGAGAGCTCAAGGATGCACAGTTTTTTGCAACATTCCTTGGATGCAGTGGCTCTTCTCTTCTACTCTGTTCTATTTGTTCCTTTTTGAGGTAGTGCTGACCCACTGCCTTGATTTCCAAAACCACTGACAGTTTGAAAAGTGCTGCTCAGAAATAAATTAAAAAATAAAATAATAAATAAAAATAATAAACAGAAAGAAAAAAGAAAAGAGCTGCTCCAGGCCAGTGCTTCTCAAACTCCACCGTGCCCAGGAATTATATGAAGAACTTGTTAAAATGCAGATTCTGATTCAGCACGTCTCGGGTGGAACCTGAGATTCCATTCCTTGCAAGCTCCCGTTTGGTGCTGATGCTGCTGGTCCATGAGCTGGACCTGTAGTAGTCACAAGGCTCCAGAACTCACCCATAAGTGCAGCACATGTGCAAAGATGTTCACTGCAGTGTTGTTTATAATAGCAATTGATTTGAATCAACCTCAGTATCCATCTGTGGTCCAATGGGTTAATGAATGGGAGTGTCCTTCAAATAGTGGGAGTCTCCACAGTTAACAGGCGTGAACCCGGTGGGGGTGGGACGGGTCCCTAGACCCTAAAGAATGCAAAAGGAGGGAAGGGGGTGGAGCAGGAAAGGTCAGGGAAGGATGGAGATAAGCAGAAACGCAGATGAGAATGATATCAAAGATGAGGGTCGGGCCCCTGACGCCCCACCCCCACCTCCTACCACCCTCAGGAGCGGAAGCTGCTGGAGGAGCGGCTGGCCGAGTTCTCATCCCAGGCAGCTGAGGAGGAGGAGAAAGTCAAGAGCCTCAATAAGCTTCGACTCAAATACGAGGCCACGATTGCAGACATGGAGGGTGAGCACCTGTCCCTCAGTGGGGGCCCGTGCACACTCCAGCGGGGTCAGGGTGTACCTCGGGTGACCTTCATGTGCTGTGGGGCCTCAGTGGTCATATCTGTTAAATGGGGGCAGGAAAGAAGACTCGGGACAGGTTAGGTGTCCTCCCAGCTCTTAAGTTGTTTCTGTCTCTCTCCATCCAATTCTCTCACTCTCTCCTGAGTGTCTTGGGTCACTCTCTCAATCTGACGGTCCCACTAGCTGTTTCAGACACTTTTTTTTATCTCTGTCCCTTGCTGTGGACTCAGAAGCAGAAACAGAAGGGAGAGAGCACAGGAGGAGGCCGGGGAGGCAGGGAGGAAAGGGCAGGGCAGAGAGAGCCAGCAAGCAGGAGCAGGGGCTGTCCCTGGGGGGCGGAGGGGAGAAGGCATCTGGGGGTCTGGGGACCAGTGGGCGATCCCAGGGATGGGGAAGCTGGGAAAGAGCGGGAGGGGTGGAAAGAGACGCTGAGCTCAGCCTGACTGCGGGGCCGTGGGTCTCCCTGGGTTTGTGGGTCTGGCTCCCTTGTGCATGCCCCACCCCCCCACCTCCCGCCTCCAGATCGCCTCCGGAAGGAGGAGAAGAGCCGCCAGGAGCTGGAGAAGCTGAAGCGGCGGCTGGACGTGGAGGGCTCAGAGCTGCAGGAGCAGATGGTGGAACAGCAGCAGCGGGCGGAGGAGCTGCGGGCCCAGCTGGGCCGCAAGGAGGAGGAGCTGCAGGTCGCCTTGGCCAGGTGCGGGGTGGGCCGGGTGGGGTGCACAGCACGGGGGCGCCCCCTGCCAGGGTTGGGGGCGCCCGGCGAGACCCTCCCGCAGGTACAGAGCTCGGCCGAGCCGCTCAGCAGCCGTGCACACCCACTCTGAGCCTCCGTGTCCCCTTCTGTAAGATGGACACAGAGTTCCAAGCCCACCTGGTTAAGGGAAAACTGAAACCGGGCCCTACGTGTCTGGTGACTCACACAGTTTCTTGCACAGAGGCAAGGAAATGCTATTTCTTCTTCTCCCACAACCCCAGCCTCTCAAAACCAAACAGCCCAGAATCCGCTGTGATTGGATAGGTGGTCTGGCCATCTTAGGAATCATAATCATCATACTTACAGTCATTCACATTTATTGAGCACTTACTGTGTCCCAGATACGATGCGCAGTGTTTCAAATGCTTTTCACCCACTGCGCTCCATGCGACCTGAGGTGCCCTTGTGTACGGGCGCAGCTTGATCTCAGAGAGGTTACAATGTGGGGAAAACATGCATCTGAGAATCGATGGGACACGGGGTTGGTGGAGGGGGGTTAAGAACACGCACCCTCCAGCGTGACTTCTGGGTTCAAATCCTGGCTCCTCCCCTTTCTGGCCATGTGACCTCACCTGGGTGACATCACCTCTCGAGCCTCAGTCTCTCTATCTGGAAAAAGGGCATGATTATAGAAGCTCTCCTAGGATTAGTGCAGGGATTAAATGAGAAAGGGCTGAGAGCTTGCTTGGCACACCCTAAGCCCTCATTGGATGCCGCGTGTGTCTGTTCCTACCTTCCCTTATTGCCGTTGTTATTTTTTTCCGTTTTCTTTTGTATTGAGGTGAAATTCACATAACAAAATTAACCATTTTAGGGAGTTCCCTGGTGGTCTAGCGATTAGGACTCCGTGCTTTCACTCCCGTGCTTTCACTGAGATCCTGCAAGATGCGTGGCACCGCCAAAAAGAAAAAAAGTTAACCATTTTGAAGCGTACGGTTCAGTGGCATTTGGTATGTTTGCGATGTTGTGCAACCACTACCTCTACTCAGAACGTTTTCATCACCTCAAAAAAAAATCCTATTAAGCAGTCACTTCCAATTTCCCCTCTCCCCTCAACCCCTGGCAACCACCAATTTGCTTTCTGTCCACATAGGATTTGCCAGTTCTTACTCTTTCACGTCAGTGGAATCATATAACATGTAGCCTTCGGCGCTACATTGCCATCCTCGCGGTAGCCCTGTGAAGGGGGGCAGTCACGCTTTCTCACAGACCAGGAGCCTGCAGTTCAGAGAAGCTGTCACTTGCCAGGGCAGGTGGCCAAGCAGGGCACCTGTGCATCTCCCTGAACCATTCTTACAGGGTTTTTTTGTTTGTTTGTTTTTTCTTTTCTTTTCCTTTCTTTTTTTTTTTTTTTGGCCGCTGCCGCACGGCTTGTGAAATCTTAGTTCCCAGACCAGGGATCGAACCCACACCCCCCTGCAGTGGAAGTGCAGAGTCCTAACCACTGGACCACCTCCCTGAGCCATTTAACCCAGAGTCCACGCTGCTGCTCCATTCAGCTTCTCTTTGCAAGAGGTCGATCCCATAGGGGTTATGAGGAGGGACTCTGGGGTCAGCCACCCACTGACCGTGTGACCAGGGCAAGTACTTTCCCGCTCTGGGCCCCAGTTTCCTCATCTGGCATGAACGTTACACAAAATGATAAAGTGCTCTCAAGTGGCAGGAACTTAATGAGTGTCCCTGTGATTACTGGTGGTGTCATCCCCATTTTACAGCTAAGAAAGCTGAGGCTCTGAGTACTGGAGACACATGCCCAAGGGCAGAGCTGGGCTTTTAACCGGGGACTGGCCGTGTCTGGCCCCTCCAACCCCTAGAAATCGTCCCCACCCCCTGCCTGCCCCTATACCAACCCCCTGGTCCTCGTCCACCCCCAGGGCAGAGGATGAGGGCGGGGCCCGGGCCCAGCTGCTCAAATCCCTGCGGGAAGCACAAGCAGGGCTGGCCGAGGCCCAGGAGGACCTGGAGGCTGAGCGCGCAGCCAGGGCCAAGGCAGAGAAGCAGCGCCGGGACCTGGGTGAGGAGCTGGAGGCGCTGCGGAGCGAGCTGGAGGACACGCTGGACTCCACCAACGCGCAGCAGGAGCTCCGGTGAGGCTGGGTGGCCTGCAGCTGGCACAGGCGGGGCACATGGGGGCTGGGGGCGGGGCAGGGAAAAGGATGTGGGTCCAAGCTCTCCATCTACACAGTTGTTTAGTCGTTCAACAGTTGTTTATTGGACACTGGCTCTGGGCCCAGCGTGGGCCACGCTGGGGACAGAGATGAGTCAAGACTCGGGCATTGCCCTCAGGAGCTCCCAGTCCAGGGGTGGGCAGATTCGGGCAAAGACAGACACAGTGCAGAACAAAGTGAGCTTTAATGGAGTACGACAGGGCATCGCGGATGATCAGAGAGGGCCCTTGTATCACTCTATGGGAGGGAGTCCAAAAGGCTTCTTTGAGAAGGGGCCTTTTGAATAGGGTTTCGAAAGATGCGTAGGAGCTCACCCTTAAGGCCACCCTTCTTCTGCAGCATCACTGCCCAGATCCCTTGGGGAATGTAGAGTGAGGTCCCCATCCTTGGAGGGAAAGAATAAAAGGAGGCACAACCAGCAGTCAGGGGCTCCCTCAAAGTCCCAGCCTTCCTCTATTCTGACATTCTGTTCCCTTCCCCTTCCCCAATAAAAGGTCCAAGAGAGAACAGGAGGTGACAGAGTTGAAGAAGGCTCTGGAGGAGGAAACGCGCGTTCATGAGGTGGCGGTGCAGGAGCTGCGGCAGCGCCATGGCCAGGCACTGGGAGAGCTGGCAGAGCAGCTGGAGCAAGCCCGGAGGGTGGGTTGAGGTGGGGGAGGAGTGTATGTGGAGCCATGGGGAGGGGAAGCAGGATGCTGGGTTGGAGGAGGTACCTCTGGCTGGTTCTAGGCCAGCCCATTTTTCTCCTCACGTATCCATGTCCCTGATCCACCTTGCATTCAGCAGATGTTAATTGAATATGTAGTATATTCCCGGGTTGGTACTGGGGGCCCCAGCTGTGAGCCAAGCAACCAATACCCACTTCCGTCGTGGAGCTCACGTTGTAGCAGGCAAGGCAGAGAGTAAACGATCTAAACACATTCATAATATATAGCGGGGTCATAAGTGTTACGGGAAGATGATGAACAGGAAAGGGGTTTCAGAGTGCTAACGGCCAGGCGGGGGCGTGTTGTGATTTGAAATAGAGAGGCCTTGGAGAGATTCAGTGAAAAGATGACATCTGAGTAAAAAACTGAGGGGGGTGATGGGTGAGCCATCCTGGCATCACAGGGAAACATGTTCCAGGCAGAGGGAACAGCCAGTGCAAAGGCCCTGAGGCAGGAATGTGCCTGGGTCTTTAAGGAACAGTGAGGAGTTCCAGAGGGAATAGGCAGTACAAAGGACTTGGGGCGTTCATGTGCCTGGTCTGGTAGAGAAAGGGAATCATAAAATCATTGCTGTCTCTCTCCCCCACCAGAGCAAAGGTACATGGGAGAAGACCCGGTTGGCTCTGGAGGCTGAAGTGTCTGAGCTACGGACGGAGCTAAGCAACCTGCAGACCGCGCGTCAGGAGGGTGAGCAACGGAGGCGTCGCCTGGAGTCACAGTTGCAGGAGGTGCAGGGCCGGGCTGGCGATGGGGAGCGGGCACGAGCAGAGGCTACTGAGAAGCTGCAGCGAGCCCAGGTGAGTGGGGCGGCTAGGTAGGGGGTGGTCTCTGCTGTGTGGCTTTGGGTGAGATGCCTGCCCTCTCTGGACTTCAGTTTGGTCCACATCAACCCTACTGTCCTTTCCAACCTTTCCAACATGATCACACGTTAATAGCTAGTATTTGGTGAGCGATTACTATGCACCAAACATCCTGGGTATTTTGCCAAAGGCTCCTCCTAATGCTTCTTTGAAGGAAGCGCTAATACTGTTCCCATTTTACACACAAGGAAACTGAGGCCCAGGGAGGTGAAGCTGATTGTCTTGGGTCCCTCAGAGCCAAAGCGTGAACCCAGGCATGACTGATCCTGTAGCTCTTAACCCTGCCACAGCGCCCACCCTCCACCCTCTTATCTTCTGGTCTTAAATAATCCATGGTCTGATTAGAAAAACCCAGCGTGAATACTTGGACCTGTGTCAGGACAATATCATACTATGACTGTTAGAAAAAATGTGGGTTTTTAAATTTTTATTATGTTTTTTAACTAAGCGACCAATACCTGTTTATTACTGGGAATACAAAGAAGCAGAAACAGGGTAAGAATGACTTTTAATTCCCCAACCCCAAGGCGGGGAAAACACTGTTACCGTTTTCAATTTCAGGATTAAAAGAGTGTATAGTTAAGGTGAAAGGTCAGTCGATATAACAAAGAGACTCCAGAATTCATCAGCTTGAATAAAAGACATGTGTCTTCCGTCTCAGGAAATAGGCTCAGAGTAAGCAGTGGAGGCTGGCGGGACACTTATGCTCCCTGAGGTCACTCCATTATCCCTGAGGGCATTGACCTCACCTTCAGAGTTAAATCTGGATTGTGGGCACCTGTGTGCTCCAGCTTAGGAAGGGGAAAAGAGGATGGGATGGAATTTGCATATATCACTTTGCTTGCATTCCATTGGCCATAACATAATCACATGACCACAGCTAGCTGCAAAGGAGACTGGGAAATATAGTTTCTAGCAGGCAGCCATGGGCCTACCTAACAGCCTGTCACAGTGGGACCAGGGGAGAAGGGATTTGGGGGGACAGCTAGGGGCTGCCCCCATGGAATTAAGCTATGTAGGGCTCATTCTCCTAAGCACTTCACGTATTACAGAAATAAAAGTGACACCAAGAGTAGAGTCTGGTGGCTGATAGCAGGAGTTCTAGGTTGCACTGGTCAGTAGAACTTTCTTCAGTGATGGAAATGTTCTGTAACTGCACTATCCACCTGGCATGTGAGGAGTACAACTGAGGAGCTGGATTTTCATTTTATTTAATTTTAATTACTTTAAAGTTAAATAGCCACCTAAGGCTAGTGGCTACCATATTGGACAGGGCAGCTCTAGAGCCATTCTGCCTGGGCTAAAATCTCAGTTCCACCACTTGTAGCTGTGTGATCTTAGGCAAATTGCCTAACCTCTCTGTGCCTCGGCTTCCCTTTATGTAAACTTAGACTAATAATAGTATCTACCTCATAGGGTCGGTGTGTGAATCCAGCGAGCCTAAACTTGGAAAGCTTTTAGAATAGTTCCTGGGCTCTCAGTAGGCTCTCAAAAATTGTCAGATGTACCTATATATTGAGCACAGGTATATGCCAGGCACTGAGCTAGTCACTTTACGTTCATTATCTCATTGACTCTTCAAAGCAGCCCTGGGAGGTAGGTCCTGTTATCATCCCCATTTCACAGATGAGAAAAACTGAGCACCAAAAAGATAGGAATCAGGCACTTCCCTGGTGGTCCAGTGGTTAAGACTCCATGATCCCAATGCAGGGGGCCCGGGTTTAATCCCTGGTCAGGGAACTAGATCCCGCATGCATTCCTCAACTAAAAGATCCCTCATGCCACAGCGAAGATCCTGCGTGCCATAACTAAGACCTGGCACAGCCAAATAAATAAGTAAATAATTTTTTTTTTTTTAAAAGATAGGAATCACTTGCCCAGGTCACACAGCCAGGAGGTACCAAGGTCAGCTCAAAATATCATTTTCAGAAGTTCAAAGCATGACTGTCATACAAAGACATAATAAGCCCATGTCAAAGATTTATTTAAAGCATTAATGAACCATAAAAAAGAATGAAATAATGCCATTTCCAGCAACATGGATGGACCTAGAGATTATCATACTAAGTGAAGTAGGTCAGACAAAGACAAATATCATATGATATCGTTTATATGTGGAATCTAAAAAAATGATACAAATGAACTTATTTACAAAACAGAAACAGACTCACAGACATAGAAAACAAACTTACGGTTACCAAAGGGGAAAGTTGCAGGGGAGGGGTAAATTAGGAATTTGGGAGTAATATATACACACTAATATATATAAAATACATGAACTACAAGGACCTACTGTATAACACCGGGAACTATACTCAATATTTTGTAATAACCTATATGAGAAAAGAATCTGAAAAAGAACATGTGTATAATGTATGTATAACTGAATCACTTAGCTGTACCCCTGAAACTAACACAACATTGTAAATCAATTATACTTCAGTAAAAACATAAATATTTAAAAAAAAAGCATTACTGAGGGATCCAGCAGAATGTCAAAGATGTTCAAGGAGAGAAACAACAACAAATTGGTGTGTGCGTAGTCAGCAAAAGAGAGAATGCCAGAACGAAATGGCGCAGAGACAAAACCGGTGAATGTCCCGAAGGGCAATCAAATGTAAGCTTTATAGAAGCGTAGTTGATTTACAATGTGTTAGTTTCAAGTGTACAACAAAGTGATTTATTGATTGATTTATTTATTTTTGGTCGCGTTGGGTCTTCGTTGCTGCACGCAGGCTTTCTCTAGTTGCTGTGAGCGGGGGCTACTCTTCGTTGCGGTGCGCAGGCTTCTCATTGCGGTGGCTTCTCTTGTTGCGGAGCACGAGCTCTAGGCGCGCAGGCTTCAGTAGTTGTGGCACACGGGCTCAGTAGTTGTGGCTCACGGGCTCTAGAGCACAGGCTCAGTAGTTGTAGTGCACGGACTTAGTTGCTCTGCGGCATGTGGGATCTTCCCGGACCAGGGCTCGAACCCACGTCCCCTGCGTTGGCAGGTGTTAACCACTGCGCCACCAGGGAAGTCCCAGTCCTGTCCTTTCTAAAGGATGCCTGACCGTTGCCTTTTCTTATTTCCAAGTTTTCAGATAAATTTTCTTACCAGCCAGAATTTGAACCCAACCTTGTTTGTTAAGTGAACCTCAAACAGGGAGAGAAGAAGTTTCAGGGTAACACACATGTGCTGGAGGCACTCACCCAACAAACATTTTCTGAGCACCTGCTGTGTGCCAGGCCCTGTTTTGAGCCCTGAGGACACAGCAGGGAACAAAGCAGATGAGGTCCTACCCTATGGAGGCAACAGTCCAGGGGGGAGAAAGTGGTAAGCTGCTGCCCGATTCCTACAGCGAAGGAACGTGAGACCAGGAACTGCACCCAGGTTCACTGTGGTGGTGATTTGCATGCCAGGGGAACAGCTCTATTGTAATATAACTCACATACCGTATAATTCACCCATTTAAAATGTACAATTTGAGACTTCCCTGGTGGTCCAGTGGGTAAGACTCTGTGCTCCCAATGCAGGCGGCCTGGGTTTGACCCCTGGTCAGGGAACTAGAGCCCACATGCCACAACTAAGAGCCCACATGCCACAACTAACACCCAGCACAGCCAAAATAAATAAATGAATATTTTAAAAAATAATAAAATGTACAATTCAATCGTTTTTAGTATATTCATAGAGTTGTACAGTCATCACCGTAACCTAATTTTAGGACATTTTCATCAGCCCAGAAAGAAATCCTGTACTGTGCAGCCATCATCCCCCAGTCCCACCCCCTGCCCCGGCAACCACTAATCCCCTTCTTTTGTCTCTCTATTCTGGGCATTTCATAGAAGTGGAATCATACGATATTTGTCCTTTTGTGTCTGGCTTCTTTCATTTAGCATAATGTTTTCAAGGTTCATCCATGTTGTAGCATGTGTCAGTACTTCATTCCTTTTCATGGCCAAATAATATTCCATTGTCTGGATAGACCACATTTTGTTTATCCAATCATCCGTGGATGGACATTTGGGTTATTTCTGCTTTTCGGCAATTGCGAATAATGCTGTCGTGAACACCCCTGTACAAGTTTTTGCCTAGACTTCTTTTCATTTCTCCTGGGTACACACCTAGGAGTGGAATTGCCGGGCTGTATGGAAACTCTGCATTGAACCATTTTAAGGAGCTGCTAGGCTGGTTTCCATGGCAGCTGCACCTTCCATGCTGGTGCATCCTCACCAGCAATGGTGGTAGGGATTAGAGGCAGAGGAGCGGAGGGGTTGGCTGGCTGGAAGCCGCCATTAGAGATGTCCCTTCCCTGCAGGCTGAACTCGAGATTGTGTCTGGAGCACTGAGCGAGGCCGAGTCCAAAGCCATCAGGCTGAGCAAGGAGCTGACCAGCATGGAGGCCCAGCTCCACGACGCCCAGGTGATCCCAGCCCACCTCTCACCACCGGGCTCCCCCCAGGCCTCCCCACGCTCCTGCCCACACGTAACATCCATTCTCCCATCCACCTTCAGGAGCTGCTGCAGGAGGAGACCAGAGCGAAGCTGACCCTGGGGTCCCGGGCGCGAGCCCTGGAGGCGGAGGCGGCAGGGCTGCGGGAGCAGCTGGATGAGGAGGCAGCTGCCAGGGAGCGGGCGGGCCGTGAGCTGCAGGCTGCGCAGGCCCAGGTGAACAGCCCCACAGGGAGATCTCAAAGGGATGCCCAGTCTCCCAACCTGTTCCTCCTGGGTTCCCCTGCTCCGGGGTGGCCCCATTGCCCAGCATATCATAGGCCAGACCCCTTCAAGCCATACCCGCCTCTGTCTCTCCCTCAGCCCCAGAGCCTGTAGGTGCAGACCCCCGTCCCTCCTGTCCCCAACTCTCTGTTTCATTCCCTACTGTCTGTCCCCACAGCCCCAGCCACCTGGATCCTCATCTCAGCCTCCCTTCAAACCTTCCTGCCCCTAGTCTCTCCCCTTCCAGCTCATACTTCACATGGTCTTTCTACACCCTGAGTTGACCCTGCCCTTCCCTAGCTCACAGACCTCCCATGGCTCCCCAGCTCCCCCCAGACAAAACCCGTGCCTCTCAGCTGGGTGTCAGAGGCCCTGCACTCTCTGGTCCTTCCTTCATGTTTAGCTGTATTCATCTCTCATCTCTTTTTTCACTTCTCTTGGGAGCACCCTTTTCATTTTTCAGGACTTAGCATCAGCCTCTCCTGTTCTGGGAAAACCCTGACCATTCGGCTCTGGGCTCCCACAACCCTTCTTTCTCCTTTGTCCCCACTTCAGTCACCCTGGCTGGAACTGTCTTTGCCCATGAGTCCCCCCATCAGACTGGGAGCACCTTGAAAGTGGGACCCCATCAGAGTTAGCTCTGGATCCCCAGCATAGGCCAACATAGAGCCTGACATATAGGAGACCTTGAGAGATGCCTGTTGAATGAATGAGTGATGAATGTATGCTTGCAAATATCCTTCTTTAACTGGAAAACCCCTATGCATACTTCAAGATCCATCACAAATGCCCCCTCCTCCAGGAATTCTCTCTTGAATGTTCTAAATAGATTTTTGAACCCCTCCTGTGGACTCCCATGGGTCTCATATTTCTTTTACCTTAGCCTCCATCACCCTGGCTGTGATGTTCAGTCTCCCCCACCAGACTGGGGGTTCCCCAGGACAGAGCCCAGGTCTGATCCATCTTCTGGGCCCTGGTGGGAACCATTTTAATCTCCTGGAGGAGCTGGGGCTCATAGAACTCACAACCTCATCCCTACTCATGAGGCAGAAGTGCCCAATGAAGTGAATTATTTCCCCCTTCAGGCCTCAGTCTCCTCATGTGGGAAATGGGGCCCCACCAACTCACACCTGGATCGCAGCCATGAGTGACACCCTCCCTCTCTCTCCTCCCCCACCCCAGCTCTCAGAGTGGCGGCGGCGCCAGGAAGAAGAGGCGGGGGCACTGGAGGCAGGGGAGGAGGCACGGCGCCGGGCCACCCGAGAGGTTGAGGCCCTGACCCAGCGCCTGGCAGAAAAGACAGAAGTGGTGGAGAGGCTGGAGCGGGGCCGCCGGCGGCTGCAGCAAGAGCTGGACGATGCCACGGTGGACCTGGAACAGCAGCGGCAGCTTGTGAGTGCGCTGGAGAAGAAGCAGCGCAAGTTCGACCAGGTGAGGCACCTCGGGTTACCCAGCTGGGAAATCGGGATGCTGATCCACGCTGCCCATGGTCATTGTGAGCAATCAGTAACATGTGATGTCACAGCTCAGCTGTGAACTTGGGAGGACCTTAGGGCCAGATGCCTCTTCCCTCTGAGCCTCTGTAAAGTAGGACACCCATCCATCCTGGCTTATGTCTCTTGCCCCAAAATAATTACTGGTGGTACCCACTTTTACTCCCAAAAGAGTCCTGAAGGTACACCAGAAGGTAGTAGGAAGATGAAATGAAATAACACACCTTGCTTCTCCTGCTGACTCCTGTGGACCTCAGGCAAACTGCTTGTCCCATTTTGGCCTCAGTTTGCCCGTCTAGGAGATGGGGATAATGTTAAGCAGCTGGCAATCTGAGGATGGAATAAAGTTCTCAGAACCCCAGAGCAGTAAGATCAGGCAACCCTGAGGTTCAAATCTCAGCTGAGGCCCTTTCTGGCTGTGTGGCTTGGGCAAATTGCCCGACCTCTCTGTGCCTCAATTTCTTCATCTGCAAAATGTGAGAGTCCTTATTTTGCCTTCACTTTTTTTTTTTCTTTTTTTTTTTTTTTTTTTTTTTATACATGTGTTTCTCCTTTTGTATTATTTATTTATTTTATTTATTTATGGCTGTGTTGGGTTTTTGTTGCTGCATGTGGGCTTTCACTAGTTGTGGCGAGCAGGGGCTACTCTTCATTGCAGGTGCACAGGCTTCTCACTGCGGTGGCTTCTCTTGTTGCACAGCACGGGCTCTAGGCGCGCGGGCTTCAGTAGTTGCGGCACTTGGGTTCAGTAGTTGTGGCTCATGGGCTCTAGAGCACAGGCTCAGGAGTTGCGGGGCATGGGCTTAGTTGTTCTGCAGCATGTGGGATCTTCCCAGACCGGGGCTCGAACCCGTGTCCCCTGCACTGGCAGGCGGATTCTTAACCACTGCGCCACCAGGGAAGCCCTTGCCTTCACTTTTGAAAGGTATTTCCACTGACTGTTGAATTCCAGGTAAACGGTTTTATTCTTTCCACACTTCAAAGAGATCATTCCATGATCTGTGGCCTCCATTGTTTCAGATGAAGAGTTAGTGGTCACTGAAAGCATTGTTTCCCTGCCGGTAGTGTGATGTGGTTTTCTGGCTGGTTTAAATTTTTTCTCTTTCTCTTTGGTTTTTAGCAGTTTGACTGTGATATCCAGCTGTGGGGTTTTGTATTTATCTTTGCCAGGCTTCCTATATCTTTGGGGTGGTGTTTTTGTTCAGATGTGGAAATCTTCAGCCATTATTTCTTCAGATATTCTTCTGCCCCATTCTCTCTCTTTCCTCTTCTTCTCAGACTTCAAATACATGTGTGTTTGACTGCTTAATACCATTCCATAGATCATCAAACATTTTTTAAATGTTTTTAAAAAAGTTTTTGTATCTCCTAGAGTTCTATATAAATTATTTTTATATAAATCTCATTTTTGACTGGCTTCTTTCACTTGGAAAAATTACTTTGAGATTCATCCATTTTTTAAATAAATTTATTTATTTTATTTATTATTTTTGGCTGTGTTTGTTCATTGCTGCACGTGGGCTTTCTCTAGTTGCGGCGGGCGGGGGCTACTCTTTGTTGCGGTGCAGTGGCTTCTCTTGTTGCGGAGCACGGGCTCTAGGCGCGTGGGCTTCAGTAGTTGTGGCACGTGGGTTCAGTAGTTGTGGCTCACGGGCTCTAGAGCGCAGGCTCAGTAGTTGTGGCACACGGGCTTAATTGCTCCACGTCATGTGGGATCTTCCTGGACCAGGGCTTGAATCCATGTCCCCTGCATTGGCAGGCAGGTTCTTAACCACTGTGCCACCAGGGAAGTCCCTCATCCATGTTTTTGCATGCATCAATAATTCATTCCTCTTTTTTTTTTAAACTACTGATTATTATTCCCTTATAGACCACATTTTGAAAAGTACTATACTGCTGATGAACATTTGAGTTGCTGTTTCTAGTTTTTGACTGTCATGAATAAAACTTTAACCTTTCCAATAGATGTAGTGGTTTTACTTCACATTTCCCTAATAAACGATGTTGAGCATCTTTTTATGTGCTTATTTACCATCCATACCTATTCTTTGGTGAAGTCCCTGTTCAAATCTTTTGCCTTTTTTTTTTTTAAAAAAAAAAGGATTGTTTCTTTTCTTATCATTGAATTTCGAAAGTTCTTTATATATTCTGAATATGAGTTCTTTATCAGATATATTGCTTGGCAAATATTTTCATCCAGTCTGTGGCTTGTCTTTTCATTCTCTTAGTAGAGACTTTCAAAGAGCAGAAGTTTTTGTTTTGATGAAGTCCAATGTTTTAATTTTTTATTCTGTGGATTATGCTTTTGGTGTTGTGTCTGAGAAATCTTTGTCTAACTTAGGGTCACAATGGTTTCCTTCTATGAGTTTTTTTCTAAAAGTTGTCTAGTTATAGGTTTTACCTTTAGGTCTATGATCCATTTTTCTTTTAATTTTCTATGATCCATTTTGAGTTAATTTTTATATATGGTGCTATCATAGCTCCAAGTTAATTTTATATGTATCTGGATATCCAGTTGTTCAAACACTATTTGTTGAAAAGACTCTCTCCACTGACTTGCTTTGCATAGATATTGAAAATCAGATAGCATTAGTTCTCCAATTTTTTCTTCTTTTTCGGAGTTATTTTACCTCTTCTTGGTCCTTTGCATTCCCATGTATATTCAGTATTTTACAATCAATTTGTCAATTTCTACAGCAAAAAAAAATCTCCTTGGTTTGAGATTGTTTTGAATCTATAGATCAGTTTGGGAAAAATTGATGTCTTCATGATATTGAGTTTTCTGGCCCAGGAACATGATACATATATCCATTTATTTAGATCTTCTTTAATTTAATCTCAGAAATGTTTTATACTTTTCAGTGCCCATCTTTCACATCTTTGTCCGATTTATTTCCACGTATTTCATTTTTGATGCTATTTTAAATATTATTTTTATTTAATTTCTGATTGCTAGAATATGGAAGTGTAATCAATTTTGCTTATTGATCTTGTATCCTACGATCTAGCTAAACTCACATTTTGGTGCTAGTAGGTGTTTTATAGGTTCCATTGGATTTTCTACGATTATGTATTCTGTGATTAAAGACAATTTTACTTCTTCCTCTCCTTTTTTTTTTAACCTTTCCTCTGGGACTCCAAATACATGTCTGTTTGATTGCTTGATACTGTCTCACAGGTTATTAAAGCTCTGCTAATTTTTTTTTTACAATATTTTTTCTTTGCTCTGTTCGATCATCTCTATTGACCTGTTTTCAAGTTTACTGATTCTTCTGATGTGTGTCCATTCTGCTCTCAATTTCATCCAGTGACCTTTTTATTTCAGATATTGTATTTTGAAGTTCTGGCATTTTTCTTTGGTTCTGTGTTACAGTTTCAAATCCCTCCTGCAATAACCCTGCCTCTTCACCCATTGTATCCATCTTGTCCTGAAACTTACTTAACACAGTCAAAGTGCTTGTGTGATAATCCCAGTATCTAGGTCATCTGTGGGTCTGTTTCCATGGACTGATTTTTCTCTTGACTGTGAGTCCCATTCTCTTCCTTTTTTGCATGTCTTGTAGGTTTCATTTTCAATTGCTGTGTCTTAAAAAACAGTGAAGGTTGAAGTACATTTTAAAAATTTATGTATTTTTTTCCTGCCATTACCCCAAGAGGAAGAAAGGAACACCATTTCCTCAGTTGTTTATCTAGAATGAGGGGCTGATCAGTTGACCCATTTAAGAGGTTTTTTTTTTCAACTTAGAATTTCCTTTAACTTTTAAAAATTGAGGTATAGTTGATTTACAATGTTGTGTTAGTTTCAGGTGTACAGCAAAGTGATTCAGATATACGTGTGTGTGTATATATATATGTATATGTGTGTGTGTGTGTGTGTGTGTATATATATATACGCACATATACACATTCTTTTTCAGATAATTTTCCATTTAGGTTATTACAAGATATTGAGTATAGTTCCCTGTGCTGTACAGTAGGTCCTTGTTGGTTAACTATTTTATACATAATAGCATGTATCTGTTAATCCCAAATTCCAAATTTATCCCTCCCCCCTTTTCCCCTTTAGTTACTGTAAGTTTGTTTTCTATGTCTGTGGATCTGCTTCTGTTTTGTAAATAAGTTCATTTGTATCATTTTTTTAGATTCCACATATAAGCAATATCGTATGATATTTGTCTTTGTCTGACTTGTTTCACTTAGTGTGATCATCTCTAGGTCCATCCATGTTGCTGCCGGTGGCATTATTTCATTCTTTTTTGTGGCTGAGTAATATTCCATTGTATATATGTACCACCTCTACTTTATCCATTCATCTGTCGATGGACATTTATGTTGCTTCCACGTCTCGGCTGTTGTGAACAGTGCTGCTATGAACATAGGGTTGCATGGATCTTTTCATATAGTAGTTTTCTCTGGATATGTGCCCAGGAGTGGGATTGCAGGATCATATGGTGACTCTGTTTGTAGTTTTTTAAGGACCCTCCATACTGTTCTCCATAGTGGCTGCACCAGTTTACATTCCCACCAACCGTGTGGTCCATTGAAGAGTTGGGCTGCTTTGGGACATGGTTGCGACTTTAATCCCTCTACCTCCCTCTTGTGTCTCTGCCTCTGTCTGTCTGTCTGTCTGTCTCTGCCCTTGGCTGCCCTGTCTTCCCCATCCCCCTGTACATTCCTTTCAGCTAACCTGTCTCCCCCACCCCATCTCCCTCACCCCGGAAGCTCCTGGCGGAGGAGAAGGCAGCCGTCCTTCGGGCGGTGGAGGAGCGCGAGCGGGTCGAGGCGGAGGGCCGGGAGCGTGAGGCCCGGGCGCTGTCACTGACGCGGGCGCTGGAGGAGGAGCAGGAGGCGCGGGAGGAGCTGGAGCGGCAGAACCGGGCACTGCGGGCTGAGCTGGAGGCGCTGCTCAGCAGCAAGGATGACGTCGGCAAGAGCGTGAGCAGCCCCCCGTCTGGGGACACACACGTGGCAACACAAGCACCCGTGACGCTGGGGCGCACATACACACGTGTGCTCTCCCACACGCAGGGTGAAGGGAACCAGCGTCAAAGCCCCACGTTCACGTACCAGACGTACGTGTTCATGCACACGCGCAGAACGGGAGGAGAATCTTCTGCCAAGCAGACGCATGCACACAACACACACAGAAAGTAAGGAGAGCCAGTCGTCACCGTGCATGTTCACGGGCACAGAACAGGAGGAGAATCTTCCAGCAAACATATATGTTCACACACTGAACATGAGAGCTGCTTACAAAACATACGTATTCACCTGTGTGTTCATGGAATGTGAGGCGGATCTTCCATCAAGCACGCTTGCTCACGTGTACACACAGAGCATGAGAACCACTCGTCTTGTGTGTATGTGACTCAGAGAGAAAGAAAAAAGGAAATGAAGAAAATTTACCACAACATACAGCCTGAGACGCACTCCACAAACATGCGGATGTGCACGCGTGTGCACACACAACACACACATATATGCACATACACACATATACACACACCACATACATACATAGCGCACACACCACACGCACATTATACACATCGCATACATACATACCACACACACACCACACATATACCCCCCTCCCGCGCACACACACACACACACACACACACTGTGAAGACACCCCGCCTTGCCACCCCCCAACTCCACTGAGCACACACAGGCTCCCCTACCAGGTCTACCAAGTTGATTGGCAGGTGCCAAATAAAAGGGGGACCAGTTGGACCCTTCTAAGCACTGAAAGTAGATACTGTCACTGACCAGCATTCTCATGAGGGTAATTAGGCAGGGGTGATAAGCAGATATAGTCCCTGCCCTGTGGAGCGCACAGGCCAATGTGGGAGGTGGGTGTTGCCCAAAAAGACACGTAAGCACATAGTAAAGGACCACTGTGACTAGGGCTGTGTCAGAGAGCGACTCAGTGCCAGGAGCATGGGTAACAGGGAGGCCCTGACAGGCCAGGGGATGCCTCTCTGAGGAGGTGACAATTAAGGAGAGGCCGTGGGGGGGTGTCTTTGAGAATTCATAAGCCCAGGTCTGCTTTCACAGGGTATTTGGGGTTTTCATTTACACCTCCCTGAAAGGTCTGTAAAGCCCCATACTGAGAAAAAAATAGTAGTCGCTAGTGGGTTGGTAATATCCTCGGGAGTCTGGCAGGAACCAACACTGCTAACTCTGGAGCTACGTGCCTTCAACACATTTCCACACGGGATTCCTGAAGGTGAAGCCACAACGAAGTGAGCTCACAAACCAATCACAAGACCAGGAATTCCCTGGGCGTCCGGTGGTTAGGACTCTGAGCTTTCACTGTCAGGGCCCCGGTTCAATACCCAGTCGGGGAACTAAGATCACACAAGCTGCGCAGGTCCTGGCCAAAAAAAAAAGATCACAACACCTACGAGGAAATAATCCACCACGAGTGAGAGTCAGCCGACCTCACAAACACTGGAATTGGATTCTCAGGAGCTTCAGATAATAGAATTACGGTGCATAGGTTATTAATAAAATATGTTCTAGGATGATCCAGAATGAGACACACAGTAAGTAGGTGCTCAGGAAATGTTGAACGTGTGAATGAATGAGCGAACTAGGATGGGCACGTCAACTTGCTGCCTCCCCCTCATCTGTCCAAGCTTCCCTCCCCTCTAGCCTAGGATAGATCTCGGGTCCTGGCCTCCCCGTTCCTCGGTGCCCCAGTGCTAAGTCTCCCTCCCCTCCAGGTACACGAGCTGGAGCGAGCCCGCCGGGTGGCCGAACAGGCAGCCAACGACCTGCGGACACAAGTGACGGAGCTGGAGGATGAGCTGACGGCGGCGGAGGATGCCAAGCTGCGCCTGGAAGTGACCGTGCAGGCCCTCAAGGCGCAGCACGAGCGGGACCTGCAGGGCCGAGACGAGGCTGGTGAGGAGAGGCGGCGGCAGCTGGCCAAGCAGGTACAGGCAGGGCGCCCGTCCAGCGGGGGATGCCCTGGTGCTCACAGGCAGCAAGAGAGGCCGGAAGTCTCACCCACCCACCTTCTACTCCGTGTTTCTACCTAAGTCCCTCCTGCTAGCCAGCCAGCCTCCTGTTTCCCAACCCACTCACCCATCATGACCCATGAGCCCACACGCACATCCTGTTGACCCATTCGGACACCCTCCATCCGCCAAAACCCTCCACCCAGCTACCACCCCATCTACTGAGCAACCCAGCCGCCCATACACAGCCTCCCCAGCAACCAGCACTTCTACATAACCAACTCTGCATCTGACTTCCCCTCCATGCACCCAACACCCGCTTCCAATCAACCTCCTGTCCCCAGCCCAGTCACTCCACTATCTAGCCCTCCACACCCACAACCTACCCAGGCACGCATCTACTCATTCATTGACCAGCTCATCTGCACCCCGCTTCATCCACGACCTTCCTCCCGTATTCGCTTACTCCTTTACCTGCTTCCTCATTCATTCCGTCTCTTTCTGTCTGTCTCTGCACCATTCATTCATTCAGTATTCATTCAGTGGAGGAATTTCCTGTGGTCTGCAGTGGGCAAGGCTCTCCACTAGGTGATGTGTGCTGAGCCTGGGAGGGGCGGGTCAGCTCTGAGTGTCAGACCCCTCTGGGGCCATGTGGGCAGCAGACTGGAGCGGGGGGAGACTGGAGCTGGGAGGCCCTGAGAGAGATGAAGACGTGATCCAAGGCGGGGGGTTGGAGGTGTCTCTGGGTGTTGTTTTGATCTCGCCTGGTTCCACTGATCCAGCCATGGGCTCATCCAAAACTTAGTCCTGGGGGCACTGGGGAGCCGCAGGAGGGCCATGAGCAGGGGAGGGGCAGTGTCAGCTCTGATTGTAGAAGGACCCTTCTGGAGCCATCGGGAATGGGCTGGCGGGGGAAAGATGGGAGCAGAGAGGAAGCTGGGGCAAGGGGGGAGGGTGAGGCCTGAGCTGGGGCTGTGGGGTTGGAGAGGATGATGGGGTTTGGTGGTGGAGAGAGGCAAGGGGCAGGAGGAACGGGGCTGGAGGCCTGGGCCAGGGCTGGAGGGTAGACATCTATGTCACTAGCATGTAGAGGGAGCCTGGGCCTCCCGTCCCCTGAGCCCGCCCCTCCCGGCCTCCCCCGTCCCAGCTGAGGGATGCAGAGGTGGAACGCGACGAGGAACGCAAGCAGCGTGCTCTGGCCGTGGCCGCCCGCAAGAAGCTGGAGGCCGAGCTGGAGGAGCTGAAGGCCCAGACCGCGGCCAGCGGACAGGGCAAGGAGGAGGCCGTGAAGCAGCTTCGCAAGATGCAGGTAAGGGGTGGAGCTTAAGCTTCGGACCAGGGAGGGCCCCACCTCCCTCCGGCTCCAAAACCAACTGGGGCCCCGCCCTCTCGATCCCAGGAGCTGCACCCAGCGTAGGCAACAGCTTTGTAAACATCCATGCCCCAAAGGCTCATTGGGTTCTTTTCCGGATTTTACTTCCTTTATTTAAAATGCATAATGTGGAAGTGCAATTTCCTCATTGTATTTCATTTTTGAAGTGGAAATACCTTAGGGTTCCCCCCCAGCCCCGTTATGAAACATACATGGTTGTTTAAAAAGAATTTTTTTGGATGATGATGTGTCAAGGTAGGTTCATCATTGATACCTACCATCAAGGTAGGTCCCACTCTGGTGGGGAATGTTAATAATGGGGGAGACTGTGCACGTGTGAGGGTAGGGGCTGTGTGGGAAATCTCTGTACCTTCTGCCCAAAACTGCTGGGAACCTAAAACTGCTCTAAAAAGTAAAGTCTATTTTTTTAATATAAATTTATTTATTTATTTGGCTGCATTGGGTCTTAGTTGCTGCACCTGGGCTTTCTCTAGTTGCCGCAAGCGGGGGCTGCTCTTCATTGCGGTACGTGGGCTTCTCATTGCGGTGGCTTCTCTCGTTGGGGAGCATGGGCTCTAGGCACGCGGGCTCAGTAGTTGTGGCACGTGGGCTCTAGAGCACAGGCTCAGTAGTTGTGGCTCATGGGCTTAGTTGTTCCTCAGCATGTGGGATCTTCCCGGACCAGGGCTCGAACCCGTGTGCCCTGCATTGGCAGGCAGATTCTTATCACTGCACCACCAGGGAAGTCTCCATTTTTGTTTTTTTTAAGTATAGACCTGGCCTGTCCAATACAGAGGGTACCAGCCCCATGTGGCTACTGGGCATCTAAAATGTGGCAGGGGAAAAAAAAAAAAAGGGAATTCCCTGGCGGTCCAGCGGTTAGGACTCTGCTCTCACTGCTGCGGGCCCAGGTTCCATCTCTGGTTGGGGAACTAAGATCCCACAAGCTACCTGGCGAGGCCAAAAAAAAAGGTGGGTGGGTCCAAAAATCCAAGTTACATGCTAGATTCAGAAGACTTCATAAAGCAAAACATCTCAATAATTTTCACATTGATTATAAATGGAAATAACAATATTTTGGATATATTAGGCTACATAAAATATAGTATTCAAACTAGTTTTACCTATTTCCTTTTACCTTTTTAATGTAGTTACTAGAAAATGTTAAAGAACGTAGGTCCTTGCAGTGTATTTCTGTTGGGCAGCACTGATGTATGAAGATTCCTCCCAAAAAGTGAAAATTATAAACCATGTCATCACTGAGCAAAAACCCCTACACTGAAAACCTATTATTATCAAGCAGATAATAATAATATTAGTAACAGTGATGGCAGTTATCCTTCTACTACCAAGCCTGCCCGCTGTCCTCACTATATCAACAAGCACTCGCTACACCATTGTAAAGATAGGGTGGGGATTTTTTTTTTTAACGGCGGTGGACATTTCGTTTGTGTTTTATTTTTCTTTATTTTAAGCACCTTTGAGGAGAAAAACCCTTTTACCGGCATCCCTACACACTCAATAATGTGACCAGGTAGCTTGGGACTTTCCTAGCTGTCCAGTGGTTTCGACTCCGCGCTTCCACGGCAGGGGGCGCGGATTCGATCCCTGGTCTGCGAACTAAGATTCCGCGTGCCACCTGGCGCGGCCAATCAATCAATCATCAGTGACGTGGCCAGGTATCAAAGTGGCTAAAAGGGTGAACTCCAGGGCCAGACAGCCTGGGTTCAGGTCCAGTCTCTGCCACTTACCACCCTGAGCACGTTGCTGAACCTCGCTGTGCTTCAGTTTCTCCATCTGTAAACTGGGGAGGAAAATAGTCCCCACCAACTGGAGTTGTGAGGATTAAAGGAGTCAGTGTGTCTGTAGAATAGAGCCTGGCCCAAGGTAAGTGATCGGTGTTTCCCATCCCTATTATTACTGCAGAGCCCAAATATTATCCCCATTTTAGACTTACTTTAATTTTGATGTGCTGCTTTTTTAAAGAGGTGAGGCCCCGAGATGGGAAGGGGCTGGCCCAAGGTCACACAGCCAGCGGCCGGGGGCGGGGTGCAGAAGCCCAGGTCCGCAGGGCTCTGCTTGCTCACGGGGAGCCCCCACAGGGCTGATGCGAGGGTAGGGGGCGTCCCCGTGAGTCACGATCAGGCTGGGTCCGCTCACTCGCTAAATTCCTCCCAGGCCCAGATGAAGGAGCTGTGGCGGGAGGTGGAGGAGTCGCGCAGCTCCCGGGAGGAGATCTTTGCCCAGAACCGGGAGAGTGAGAAGCGCCTCAAGGGGCTGGAGGCGGAAGTGCTGCGACTGCAGGAGGTAATGCCAGGATGAGCGGGGCCTTGGGGGAAGGGAGGGGGGCGGGGCCTGGGGGAAGCTTGGGAGCCCAGAGAGGGTCTTGAGGCGCAGCCGCAAGGCCCTCTCTGGGGCGGTGTGGGGCATGGACTAGGGGGAGAATGGAGGCTGGGAGGCTGGGGAGGGAGGATGAAGCCTGAGCCAGGGCTGTGGGACGCAGAGGAGGGACCAGGGCAGAGTAAAAGGGCAGGACAGACAGGGCTATGGGTGGTAAGGAGGCAGAGGAGTCGAGGAGGTCTGGCCCGATGACCAGGGGAAACTGGAGGAGGAACTGGCTTGAAAGGAGATAGTGGGCTCAGTGAGGAGGCTATGAGGGTGAGGGGCCTTGAGGGGCAGCAAGAGGTGGACACGGACCAGGGGCTCCGGAGACGGATTTAGGAGACATCTGCCTATGGACTGAAGTTCATTCCAAGGTTATACAGGGGCAGCATGTTCAAGTGCAGTGAAAAAAAGGCCAAGAGACTTGAGGTGTGAGGGGCAGGGAGACCAGTGCCCAGACAGCATCCCCTCACCACAGCTGACCACCCCCTCTCTCGCTCATCACAGGAACTGGCCGCCTCAGACCGTGCCCGGCGGCAGGCCCAGCAGGAGCGGGACGAAATGGCAGATGAGGTGGCCAACGGCAGCCTTAGCAAGTGAGTGGTCCCTGGTAATGTGGGGCAGGGCGCCCTCCTCTGGCCATCCTGCTCTCTGACCGCCCCCGTGCCCGTTCTCCCTAGGGCTGCCATTCTGGATGAGAAACGTCAGCTGGAGGGGCGCCTGGGGCAAATGGAAGAGGAGCTGGAGGAGGAGCAGAGCAATGCAGAGCTGCTCAATGACCGCTACCGCAAGCTGCTTCTGCAGGTGAGCACAGCTGGGTCACCCATTGCCAGCCTGGGTCCTTGCTGACCTGGGACCATAACACCTTCAGTTCTCTTATTCAACAGACGTAGGAAAAGGGAATATTTGAGTTGGGTTTTGAAGGTTGAATAGGAGTTCTCAAGGTGGGGGAGACATTGATGCATTCATTCACTTGTATTTCTGAAGCTTCTCAAAGGCTGGATTCAGGGATCAATTATGTGGAGTCTCTATCCTGCAGAGTTCCCTGGGGAAACAGACAGGGAATTACACCATGACATTACAGAGTGACATGTGTGATAATATAAGTATTGAGGGCCCAGTAGCGAGAGGGAGAGAACTCTCTGCAAGAGAGGCATTTGCAAGAAGGGGCATTTGTCTGGGTTTTAAAGATACATAGGAGCTAGGCAGACAGACAAAAGCATATTTCATTTGTTTATTTATTTATAAATATTTTATGAGGCTTCTGGAGGCCCATATCCTATTCTGGGTGTGCTAGGGACCTAGAGATGGATCATTCCATGTCTCTGCCCTTAAGGACATCCTAGTCTGATGGAGGAAACAGCCTATCCCAATACCGAAATTCAAATGAAAATGGAGGAAGCACAGGACACTGTGAGAATGTAGAGGAGACTGGATCAGTATCCAGCCTGGAGGCTGGGGGCTATCAGCGAAGACTTCCTGATAGAGGTGATTCCTTAAGAGGTCTTGTAGGAAGTTAAGAGTTTGCCAAGCAGACATTAGAGGGGTGAGATTTCCAAAGAGAGACCTACATCGTTATTATTTCATACCTTTTAAAAGATACATTTTGAGACCTCTCATGCTGGGGACTCAGAGAGGAGTAAGAACCCAGCTCAGCCCTTGGGGAGCCCCTAGACCAGTAGGAGAAGCAGTCATACACCATGATGATGCACCCTCATCTTACTCAGAGTAAAATCTCAGTCACCAAAAAGGCCCCACACTCTGGTCCCTGGCTAATTCAGACCTTAGTTATCTCTAACCCTTTTTCCCCTAGTTCACTCTGCTTCAGCCACACCAGCCTCCTCACTATTCCTTGACTATGCCTAGTTTATTACTACCTCAGGGCCTTTGCACTTGCTGTTTCCTCCTCTTGGAAAGCCCTTCTCCCAAACCATCACACATCTCACTCCCTCAAAACAGCCTTCCCTGACCACCGTGTGTGAAACAGCCACCCTCCCTCCCATAATTTCTCTCCATTCTCTCTGCTTTAATCTCTTCATATCACTTACCACTGCCTGGCATTCTATTATATATTTACTTATTTGTCTATGGTCCATCTTCCCAACAGAGTGTAAGCACCTTGAGCATAGGGCCTCTGTCTTAGTTTTAGTTCTTAGTTTTTACCTAAAACAGTACTGGGTGCTCATTATAAATGAAATAAATAAGCCAGTATATGCCTAGTGGAGAGCCCGTAGGATACTACAGTCATATAAAGAATGATGTGACTTAGCCCAGCCCACATCTTTGGCTGTTGGTGAAAAGGAGAACCTTTTAAAAAAAATCAAAATAAAACTTTTTTTTAAAAACCTATTTCCTATTTATTTATTTACTTTTGGCTGCATTGGGTCTTCACTGCTGCGCACGGGTTTTCTCTAGTTGTATTGAGTGGGGGCTACTCTTTGTTGTGGTGTGCGGGCTTCTCATTGCAGTGGCTTCTCTTGTTGTGGAGCACGGGCTCTAGGTGCGCAGGCTTCAGTAGCTGTGGTGCGCGGGCTCAGTAGTTGTGGCACACGGGCTTAGCTGCTCTGTGGCATGTGGGATCTTCCTGGACCAGGGATCGAACCTGTGTCGCCTGCATTGACAGGCGGATTCTTTTTTTTTTTTTTTTTTTTTTGCGGTATGCGGGCCTCTCACTGTTGTGGCCTCTCCCGTTGTGGAGCACAGGCTCTGGAGGTGCAGGTTCAGCGGCCATGGCTCACGGGCCCAGCTGCTCCGCAGCATGTGGGATCTTCCCGGACCGGGGCACGAACCCGTGTACCCTGCATCGGCAGGCAGACTCTCAACCACTGCGGCAGAAGCAAAGTCCCCAAAATAAAACTTATAAAAGACACAAAAAGAAATCCATAAGAAAATGGCAAATATTGAAGACAGGCAGAGAAGATCCAACATATGGATAATAGGAGCCCCCAAAGAAGAAAATCAAAGCAAGAAGTCAGAGCAAATAACAAAAAACCATAATGCAAGAAAACTCCTGAAGCAGAAAAGTTTGTAGCCACTGTGTACCTGAAGATATTGATCCATACTAACTCATACCATGACAGATTCTAATAAGAACCCTTGGACTTATAAGAGAGTGAAAAATTCTTTAGCCATCCAGGAAAAAATAAACAAGTGATATATAAGAAAAAGAAAATTAGATTGTCATCAGATTTTTCACAGCAAGACTTTATGCTGGGAGAAAATGGAGGGATATAGTTATGATACTCAAAGAAAGAAAATGTGAGCCAAGGATTTTATATCAAGCAAGACTTACTTTCTTTTTTTTTTATGTGCAGATATTTGGTTTTTTTTTTAATATAGTTGATTTACAATGTTGTGTTAGTTTCAGGTGTACAGCAAAGTGATTCAGTTATATATATGCATATATATTCTTTTTAAGATTATTTTCCATTACAGGATATTGAGTATAGTTCCATGTGCAATACAGTAGGTCCTTGTTGGTTACCTATAAGATATAAGACTTACCTTCATGTATAAAGGACATAAACAAGTTGTCAACGTGCAAGAACTCAGAGACTGTTATTCCCAGGAGCCCTTCCTGAAGAATCTAGGAGAGCAGCAGTCCTCAAAGTGTGGCCCCGAGATCAGCAGTATCAGCCTCACCTGGAAACTTGTTGGAAATGCAAGTTCTGGGGCCCCAACCAAGCGAATGAGGCACGAATGAATGAGGGATGCTGGAGGTGGGGAAACCCAGGAATCTGTGTTTTAACAAGCTCTCCAAGTGGTTCTGAGGCATGAGGAGTCAGAACCACTGCCCTGGGGATCCAGGTTCAGATGATCAGGGTCAGTAGAGAGACATCAGCTAAAGAGAGTAACGAGCATACGGTCTGCCTGTAGCTCTACAACTAAGTGAAGGCTGAAAAGGAATAAGAAGGATAATTGGCTAAATGCTCATTTATTTATAACACAACTATTTTTTAAATGGAGAGAATGGGCAAATATGCAAAAAAATTTTATTACTATATTCAGTAATTATATTGGTAATAGTAATATTATGTGTATAATGTGGGATAAAGTAAATGATTAAGGATGGGATATTCTAATTCTATCATCTCTACCTGTGTTCATAATCTGAGGATCATCAGCACTTGAGAACCAATATATAGATGTCATGGAGAACAGGCTAAGTTAAAAACAAACAAATAGGGAGTTCCCTGGTGGCCTAGTAGTTAGGATTCTGGGCTTTCACTGCTGTGGCCCGAGTTCAGTCCCTGGTTGGGGAATTAAGATCCCACAGCTGTGTGGCACGGCCAAAACAAAACAAAACAAAAAACACACAAAAACCCTCTAGTCCCAAATTTGACTTGGATGTATTCATGTGAACTTATGGGGTAATTTGTATAGATCCATCCTATCTCTGTCCACCATAAAAGCCTCTAAACAATAACCAACCCAATAGCAATGAACATCGTGGTCTAGAAATACCATTTCCCCCACTAAAAGAAAATGGGGCTTTTTTTTTTTTTTTTTCAAAAGGCTCATTCCAGATCTGAATCAGGAAATGAATCAGAGTAGCCTGGACCATCTTGTCATACCATGCCTTAGTCTGCTCAGGCTGCCATAACAAAATACTATAAACTGGGCGGCCTTGATAAGAGAAATTTATTTCTCACAGTTCTAGAGACTGTGAAGTCCAAGATCATGGTGCCAGTAAGATAGGTTTCATTCTGAGGCCTCTTCTCTTGGCTTATATGTGGCTATCATCTCATCGTGCACTCACTGGCCTCGACTTTTTGTGCATGTGGGGGTAGAGAGAGAGCAAGCTCTCTGGTATCTCCTTACAAGGGCACTAATGCCATCGTAGGGGCCCCACCCTCACATTTCTCATCTAATCCTAATTACCTCCCAAAGGCCTCATCTCCAGGTACCATCACATGGGGATTAGGGCTTCAACGTATGAATTTGGAGGGGACACAAACATTCAGTCCATAACACACCCTGGTTATCTCAAAAGCACTTAGAAGTCAACCTGGAAAGGCTCCCACTGGCCCCAAATGGAGCAACTTGAGCTTCAACAAGGGTCAGAATCGCACTGCTTTAAATCCATCAAATCTGTTTAAATACACGAGTTCACAATGATATTTTAAAAAATACTAATTAGTCACTGTATTAATTTCCTGAGGCTGCTGTAACATTGCCACAAACTGGGTGGCTTAAAGCAACAATAACTTATTCTCTCACAGTTCTGGAGGCTAGAAGTCCAAAATCAAGGTGTCATCAGATTGCTTCCTTCTGAGGGAGCATCGGTTCCAGGCCTCTCTTCCAGCTGCTGCTGGTTGCCAGCAATCCTTGGCTTGTAGATGCATCAGCCCAATCTCTGCCTCTATCTTCACACGGCCTTCCCTGTGTCTTCTTTATGTGTCTGTGCCTCCTTCTCTACTTGTAAAGACACCAGTCATATTGGATTTTGGGCCCACCCCAATCCAGTATGACCTCATCTTCTTTTAACAAATTACACCTCCAAAGACTGTCTTTCCAAATAAGGTCACGTTCTGAGGTTCCAGATGGGCATGAGTTCTTGGTGGACGACTGTTCAACACGGTAGAGTCACCTTCATAAAATGATATGGAACCATTTCATTACCTTGAAAACTCATAGAGAAAAAGAATTAATTCCCTGGACCGAGCTGCCTGTTTGAAGGAAACTGAACAGAGAAGCATGCTGAGTTAGACCGTGAATGTGTAATCAGGAAAATACAGATGCAGAGAAACTCTGTAGGTCAGACAGCCCAGATTCTTCAACAAATAAATTGTAAGGAAATAAAAGGGATGGAGTAGGGAACTGTAGATTAAAAGAGACTTAAAAGTCATATACAAATTTTTTAAAAGATTTTTTTTTTAATTTTTATTTTTATTTGGCTGCATCAGGTCTTAGTGGAGGCATGTAGGATCTTTCGTTGGGGCATGTGGGCTTTCTCTTCTCTAGTTGTGGTGCACAGGCTCCAGGGTGCGTGGACTCTGTAGTTTGTGGTACGCGGGCTCTCTAGTTGAGGCGCTCGAGCTCAGTAGTTGTGGCGCATGGGCTTAATTGCCCTGCGGCATGCGGGATCTTAGTTCCCCAATGAGGGATCGAACCCATGTCCCCTGCATTGGAAGGCGGATTCTTTACCACTGGACCACCAGGGAAGTCCCTTAAAGCTTTTTTTGATGTGGACCATTTTTAAAGTCTTTATTGAATTTGTTACAATATTGCTTCTGTTTTGTGTTTTGGTTTTTTTGGCTGTGAGGCATGTGGGGTCTTAGCTCCCTGACCAGGGATCGAACCCACACACCCTGCATTGGAAGGTGAAGTCTTAACCACTGGACCGCTAGGGAAGTCCATACAAGTTTCTTTTTTTTTTTTTTTAATGGGCAGGATTCAACTGTAGGATCTAGGGATGCATCTTTGAGTAATAAAACTCGAAAAAAGAGCAAGGACGTGATCACCCCCAAAGTCAGGATGACATACTATTTGGGGGAAAAGGAAGAGGTTGTTATTAGGATGGGTGCATAAAGTTCTGTTTCTTGACCTGGGCAGGGGCGACAATGATGTCTGCCTTTTATAAACCCATTAAGCCATACATTTGATCTGTTTTTTACTTTTTCTATATCACGGTTTTATTTTCCATAAAAGGTTTAAAAAAAAAAAAGCTTATGCTAATCACCACGTCGATGTCTTCCTTTGAGGGTGAAATGAAGTAAAGTATGAATCAGACTGGATCTGACTAATTTCTGTGTCCCCGGCATAGGACCTCACTCAGAGTAGGAGCTGAATACATAAACAGGCACTATTATTAGAAGTATGTTTACACATTCCCAATGTAGTAGCTCCTGTTCATTGAGCCGGCATTTCTCAAAACGGTCCTGCATATCATTCGTTTCAAAACCACCTGAGATGCTTGTTGAAAATGCGGATTCGTGGACCCCATTCCAGACCTGCTGAATCAGAATCTCTGGAGCGGGGCGACCCTGCAGTCCACAATTTTTTTAGCAAGCTCCCCAGATGAGCCTGGTGTGAACAAAAGTGTGATAACCCGGGCTTCCCTGGTGGCGCAGTGGTTGGGAGTCCGCCTGCCGATGCAGGGGACGCGGGTTCGTGCCCCGGTCCGGGAGGATCCCACGTGCCGCGGAGCGGCTGAGCCCGTGAGCCGTGGCTGCTGGGTCTGCGTGTCTGGAGCCTGTGCTCCGTGGCGGGAGAGGTCGCGGCAGTGAGAGGCCCGCGTACCGCACACAAAAAAAAAACACAAACAAACAAAAAAAAAAAACTGTGATAACCCTTGGAATAGACTCATTCACAGTCGAAGGTAGAAGTTACAGCGTTTAAACAAGTTTGTGATAATCTTGTGGGCTTATTAAAATAGCAAAAACCTATCTAAAAGGTTAAAACCCAGGGCTGGCACTGCCATTGGCTGATGAGCCAATTGGAGAAAAATACACATTACCATTTGTTGAGTATTTAGTATATACCAGGTTCTGTGCTGTTTATGTAACAATCATCAACTCACTTAGTTGTGGGAGGTGCCTGCATTTACCTCCCACCTTCCCTCTGAGACTCCACCATGACAGTCCTGCCTTTCCCACTGATGCAGGTGGAATCACTGACCACAGAGTTGTCAGCTGAGCGCAGTTTCTCAGCCAAGGCAGAGAGCGGGCGGCAGCAGTTGGAGCGGCAGGTCCAGGAGCTCCGGGGACGCCTGGGTGAGGAAGACGCTGGGGCCCGGGCCCGCCAGAAGATGATCATCGCTGCCCTTGAGTCTAAGCTGGCCCAGGCTGAGGAGCAGCTGGAGCAGGAGAGCAGGTAGGCGGGAGAGGAGGGCACGGCTGGAGGGCAATCCTCACATTCTGGTCAATGAGATGAAGGGGAGCTGTGTTACAAGCACATGGTTTAGAAACATCCAAAAGGCATCATAATATTAATGGTTGATGATTTCCTATGTCATTTAGGATGCTTTGTGCTGCAAGTAACTGCATTCCCACTATATAATTTAAACAGTAATGTAGCAGTTAGCTATAGCTGCATAACAAACCACCTTAAAATTTAAGTGGCTTAAAACAACAATTTTTTATTACTGCTCATGAGTCTTCGGGTTGGCTGGTAGGTTCTGCTGCTCTGAGCTTGGTGGGCCTCACTCACGCATCTTTGCTCAGCTGAAAGTCAGCTAGATGGATTTGCTGATCTTGGCTGGGCTCTCGTATGTCTCCAGCCTGGCCTGGGACAACTAGGCTAACTTGTCTCTGCTCCAGGTTGGCCCAGGATTGTTCACATGACAAAGTGAAGGTTCCTAGAGTGAGGGCTTCTTGGGGTCTAGATTTGGAACTGGTACAGTGTCACTTCTGTCACATCCTGTTACTAAAGCCAGTCATGTAGGGAATCCCCCGGTGGTCCAGTGGTTAGGGCTCCTCCACACTTCCACTGCAGGGGGCATGGGTTTGATCCCTGTTCTGGGAACTAAGATCCTGCATGCCGCACATGGCACGGCCCAAAAAAAAAAAAAAGAAAGAAAGTCATGTGGCTGGCTCAGATTTAAGGGAATGTCCAGTCATGGCTGCCAAGCACTGCCCATTGCTAGGGGCCCCATCACATGGACTTCACCCAGGTGTGGATGAGCAGGGACCGTGGGGATGGGGGAAATTAAGGAGACGGGAGGGAAGAGAAGGAGGTAAGGATGGCCCCAGGTGTCTGACCTGCATATCTAGGTGGATCATGGGGGATTAGGAGGAGGAGCAGGTTTGGGAGAAGGCATTGAGCCCAATGCAGGGTGTGCAGGGTCTGGGGATAGCTGAGGCTGGGGGCTGAACCAGGCTGGAGCTCAGGAGACGGATTTAGCAGACAACAGGCTGTTGATGGTTGTAGAAACCTGGGGCACAGCTGAGCTTGTCCAGGGAAAGTGTGTGAGTGAGAAGGGGAGAAGACAACAGAGATGGTTGGAGATGGAGCTTTGGGCTTCCAGACTGTTCCACAAACACAGAAAGCTAGAGAAAGAAATTGAGAGAGAATTCCAGGCCAGGTAGAGGGAAGGTCCGGTGGGAGATGATGAGTCCTGAACTGGGGGCTAGGGCTGTGAGGCTGAGGAGGGGACAAGACAGAGTCCAGGGGGCAATGGGACAGGGTTCGGTTACTAACAGGCTGGGGGTGGGGCAAAGGAGAGAGAAGGGGTGAGGACAATGCCTGGTGGTCTGACTTAGGGACTGGTGGTCAGTGGGTCAGTCCCCTGAGAGGAGGAAGACTGGGGGCGGGGTGGTGGGGGAATACAGGTGAATATGAGAGACTGAGTGGGATATGGAAAACTGGTATAGCCATGGAGACACTTTAGGACCTTCAGGCATCTTCCTAGAAGCTAAGGACTAGATTCCCTGGTGGGAGCCTGGGTGCCAGTGTCTGGCCTGAGTAGACTGTGGGAGCCAGTTGTGGGTGGAAAAGAGGGCAGAGGCCACTCTGAGAACAGGTAGCCACTGGACGAGGCTTGGGGGACTGAGCCCCAGGTGAGCAGCTCTCCTGATTCTCCCGTTCATACCTCTCCATAGGGAGCGCATCCTCTCTGGCAAGCTGGTGCGCAGGGCTGAGAAGAGGCTTAAAGAGGTGGTGCTCCAGGTGGAGGAGGAGCGGAGGGTGGCTGACCAGCTCCGGGACCAGGTGAGCAGCTGATGTCATTGAGGTGCAGTGGGAGTGGTGGGGGGACCACTGACAGAGAAGTAGCACATGCCATCTCTGGAGGCAGTGAGTTCCCATCACAAGAGGACGTGTGGGTGCTGGACTGGAGCTGAGTGCAGACACCATCCTGGGGCTTGGTGCGTCAGCAGAGAGGTGGAATCAGTGACTTTGTGATCCATAAATTCTGGAATCCAGGAAAGGCCCTGGTGGGGACCTTGGACAGCCAGGGAGAGGGAAGAAGTTAAACCCTATCCAGAGGCTCGGCCACAGCTAAAATAACAACACCTGCTGTTTACTGAGTGCTTTCTACGAGCCAGGCAATATGCTAAAGACATAACATATAGTACACTTAATTCTTATCCGAACTCTATGAGGTAGGTTAAACTATTATTTTCCCTCTAATTTTGGTGAGAAAACTGAGACAGAAAGGTGAATTAACTTGCTCACAATTATTTATTTAGTAAGAGATAGAGCCAGAGTTCACACTCCAGCACTCTGGCTGCAGAGTCTGTTTTCTTAATTATTTATTGAGCAGTTACTGTGTCCCAAGTAGTATGCTACCTGCTTTTTAAAAAATACATGCTTACGTTCCCTCATCAGCTCCATTTCACAGGCGAGAAAATGGAAACTTTAAAAGGGGATATAATTTGCCCCAGAGTCACACAGTCAATAGAGAGCCTGGATCAGATCCTCTTGCCAGCTTCCACCCCAGGCTCAAATGTGACTGATTCTAGTTGCTGTGCCCTTAAAAGCTCAGCTGTGTTTTATTCACCATTCATCTCACAAAACAATTGTTGAGCACCCCCTATGTGCCAGGCACTGTGCAGGGCACTGGAGATGTGGCTGTGAATGACACAGAGAAGGACTGTGCTCTCAAAGAGCTCACATTTTCAACGTAGGAAAAGAAAGATACCATAAACCTATAAACAAGTAAAGATAATTACAGATTGTGACAGGGGCTATGAAGAAAAAAGGGAATGAAGAGAGAGGGGGACACAGAGGACTGGGGAATCCCCCCTAGATTGGGGGTGGGGTGTCAGCAAGACCTGCCTAAGGAAGTGACAGTTGAATTGATACTGAAGGGTGAGAAAGAGCCAGGAAGAGGGAACAGCAGGTGCAAAGACCCTGGGGTATGGAAATGAGCTTGGTGAGTTCCAAGCCATAAAGCAGACCAGTATTGCTTGAGAGAAGAATGAGGTTGGGGGGTTGAATGATAAGAAATGAGGTCAGAGGAGTTGGCAGGAGACAGATTATGTATGTCCCCTCCATGGAGAGAGAGATGGCAGGGTCTGGGGAGGGTCTCAGTGAAGATGGTCTGATCAGTGTGTTTATGGGAAGAAGACCCTGCAGGGCCTGGAATGACAGGCTGAAGGGCTGAGACCTTGTCCCAGGGGTACTGGGGAATCACGGAGGACTTTGAGCAGGGAAGGGGCAGGGTCAGCCCTGAACATAGAAAGATTCCTCTGAGGCTGAGTGGGGGATGACCTCACATTTGAATCTGAGGTGGAGGCTGGTGAGAGGATCTAGGAGAAAAGAACAAAGCATGAATAGATGGCAGGGCACAGGACAGAGTCAGGATGTAGGAGGGATGAGCTGTGGGGAGCTCTGGGTGAGGGCAGCACCCAGAGAAATGACCCGGCCCCCCTGCTCACGCCAAGCTGGAGAAGGGGAACCTTCGAGTGAAGCAGCTGAAGCGGCAGCTGGAGGAGGCCGAGGAGGAGGCGTCCCGGGCTCAGGCAGTCCGCCGGAGGCTGCAACACGAGCTGGAGGATGTCACAGAGGCCTCCGAGTCCATGAACCGGGAGTTGAACACGCTGAGGAACCGGCTTCGGTAAGGCCACCACCCAGCACATGCGCACCGTCGCTCCATAAACCCCAGTATCTCGCTGTCCCCTCATCTCTCTGTGCCCCCCTCCCCATTTTATTCTGTCTCTCCATATCTCCCTATCTCTCACTTTTCTCTCTGCCCCCTGGTCTCTCCTCCCCGCAGACGCGGCCCCCTCACCTTCACCACCCGCTCAGTGCGCCAGGTCTTCCGACTGGAGGAGGGCGTGGTGTCCGACGAGGAGGCGGCGGCGGAGGAGGCGGAGCCGGGGGCTGGGCCACTGCCCGCGGAGCCCGAAGGGTCCCCTGCGGCCCCAACGCAGTGACCCTACCCTGCCTGCAGCCACCGGGCCCTCCCTCCCTGGCCCCCTTGGTGCCTGTCCCACGAACAACCCTCTGGCTTCTTGCACTTTGGAAATGGTGCCACCCTCTGGCATAACAGCACTTATCAACCCCACGGGGGGTGGGGGCGGGGGGGTCGCCTGAGACTTCCCGTGAACCCCTAAACACAGAGGAGCGGGCAAGCAGGGAGGAAGGGACTGGGGCGCTCTCGCTTGGGAGAAATTCGGGTATAGTTGGCAAGCTGGGGTCCCATCCAGCTCCAAATCCTTCCTTCAGTTATGAATGATCTATATTAGGAAGGGAGCATGGCTCCCCTGCCCTCCTCAGCCAGGGCTTCCCACGCCCCTTCCCCCTCCCTCTCTCTTCTCCCCCTCCCCCTTCCCCCTACCGCTCCCTCTCTCCCTCTCTCTCCCTGTGTCTTTCTCCACTTAGTCACTGACCCCAGAACTTCTGAGCAACAGCACCCTGAGCCCCAGGCCACCACCAGCCTTTGACCCTTGCAGAGGGGCAAGATAAGGGGACCTCACGCCTTCCCCTCCCCCCATGCTCCCTTCTGGTTGCTCTTGTGTGATCACAGTTCAGTTGGAGTTTCTCATGGGAGTTGGAGGAGGCCCCCATACCCTCCCAGGCTCCAGACTCTGGCAGAAATAAACTCCAACCTCGACTGGACCCCTCGGGGGCTGTATGTGTTCCTGCAGGGGTAGGGGGACAGGGTGGGCAAGGGGCAGCGAGTGGAGGGGGGCAGTCTGCTGGTTCTAATCCAACTGGCCAGTGTCGGGGGACCTCACGTGTACCCAGCATTTAATGTGAAAGAACTCATCTTCCCCTCACCCAACCTTCCTCCAAAGTATCCCCTGCATTATACAGACGGGAAACTGAGGCTCAGTGCTCCAGGGTCCCTTGCTCCAAGCCTCTCCACCAGCGAGTGGCAGAAGGGCTGCTGCACTCTAGCTGACCCTCGAGTCTTTGCAAAGCAATGATAGTGGTGACTGTTGAGCTGTTTGCTGCGTACTATTTGTTTAGCTGAGCTAAACTTGGGACGTTAGTCTCAACCCTCAGCACAACCCTTAGAGGCAGGAATTTCATTGCCTTCCAGTGTCTAGAACAGTGCCTGGCACGTAGTTGGCCTTAGTATGTTTGCTGAATTAATAGATCACCCCCCCTCGCCCTTTTAGAGTGGTGGAAACAAGCCCAGAGAAGTTGAGAGACTTGCCCAAGGACACACAGCTACTAAGAAATTGAACCCAGTCTGACTTCAGAGTGGGTAACTCCTGAGCCCACACTCCTTTTCTGGGGACTAGTCACCGGCACATGACCCGGGAGCTCACATGACCCAGGTGCCCTCACAGACTTTCCAGTTAGGGGTGTGGATCCCCATTTTTACCATCAAGGAAACTGAAGCAGGTACTTGCCCCCGCCAAAATCACAAGGTGAGAGCCGGCGATGAGGGGGATGTCTGGACCCTCAAAGTGCAGGCCCTTGCCATCTTAATACGACCCTGCTGTTCTGTCCCAACCTTCTATCTGCCCCCAGAGCCCCTAGCCCCATCAGGAGACCTCTGGAGACAAAGAGGATGAAACTTTTAAATGAAAAGGAAACTTTTATTTTGGTGGGGAGTGAGAGGGTGGGTGGGAAGGGGGCATGACACTTTTTATTTGGGGGGGGTGACATGCGGCAGCTTCTGCAACGGGCGGTTCATGCACCCAGGGTGGGCGTGGGGGAGGCTTGGGGGAGGGGCCGTGCCGACCCCTCCCTCCCTGCCCTGGGGGTGGGCTGAGAAGACCCGCCATTAGCACCAGAGTTGGACGATTTGCAGACCTCCCCTCCCCAGACTGACTCCGGGCACCCTCCCCCATCCCTGAGAGCGCCCCCTTGCCACTCCCCCCCACCCCAACAACAGGACAGGCCCGCCCCGCCCACTTTTGAGTGAGAGAAACTTATTGCTGTGTGTGTGTTGGGGAGGAGCCGCTGTATTCAGAAAGACCCCCCGCCATTCATTCCTTCCCCAATCACCCCGCCCCCGCCCCGTGTCCGTGCGTTCCCGGAGCGCAGGAGGGGCGCGACATGCGTGTGGGGAGCGCGTCATGCAGCGCATGCGTGTAGTTGCAGGCACCCTGGCGGCCGGGGGGAAAAGGAGAGTCGGGACTTGGAAGTTGTCCCTTTAGCTCTCTCTCTCCCTCCCCGAATCCCACACTGTTGACTTGGGGGATGGGGAACAAGAATAACGTGTGTAGAGGTTTATAATGGTTGTGACTATTTTTAAAAGCTGAACTAAAAAGCTGGGTACGTGTGGCAGATTGGCGAGCAGTGGGGAGACGTTGGGAAGAGGTCCGTACCCTTTAGAAAAATCCTCACCCCCTTTCCCTGCACCGTTCGGCTTCCGTGAGGGTCAGGGGTATCTGGGGTTTTGTTTTGCTTTAAGAAGTTAAACCCTTTGGCAATATAATCAGTCTCCAACCCCATACCCTGGTGTTTAAAGCCCCTAGCCCTTTGCCCCGCCCCACCCCGCTCCCGCCAGAACCCGCCCCACCCCTCACCCCTGGTTCGCCAGGGTTTAGGGTCCAAGGGAAGGATGGGCGGACTCAAAAATGCCCCTTGCATAGGAATCGTTGTATCAAGAATCGTGCTCAGTGACACCCCCACCACCAATCCTCAGGCGGGGGGTGGGGGGTTCCTGAGGCCGTGGGAGCAGAGGGAGGGAGGTTGCTAATTCCATGGGCCCCAAGCTCCAAAAGGGGTAGTCCCTTAAGGATTCTGGGACCGATATGGTCCCTGGGCTTGGGGTAGGTAGCGCATCCTTCTTGAGCCAGGATGGGGTATGAGAAATAATTTTCCACCCGCGAACGTGGGGGGTTGAAGAAGGCCGGGGAAGGGCGAGCTGGGATCCCAGCCCAGGTAGATATGTGGTTTCCCAAGCTTCTGATATTCCAGCGTCCCTCCACTAGGGAACAGCCTCTACATTTTAAATGTAAACACCTCTAACCTAAATAAACGGTGTCCTGGCCAAGCAGCAATTATGTGCGAAATGCCAGGAAAGACAAAACTTTAAAAATAAGTGTTTGTCCTTGTACTGCCTAAAACCTTAGCACATCGCCAGGGGTACAAATATGACTCTCTGGGAAACACTGGCGTCTATGAAGAAGGTGCCTTTGGGGCACCATTTAAAGAAAGGGGCTCTTGGAGGGTTAGGCATAAGAAAGGGGGTGCCCCGGGAAGGTCTGGTTCCCTGGAATTGCAGACAGATTGAGCTTATCTTGAAAATTCTAGCGTCAGGGGAACCTGAGGAGGATGTCTGATGTCAGATTTAGGGGTGTCCAGGAAATGTCCAGAGTGTGGGAAGGATTTGGAAGCATCCCAAAGGCTGAAAGTGAGCTGAAGGGCTGGATCAAGTCTTGGAGGTTTGAGGTGCTGGGATGCAGCTCAGGGAATGGGTGGGCGGTGAGGGGGGGGCGGGGGGGGCGCGGTGCGGACAGCATCTGTGTGCAGCGGTTAAGTCCCAGGAGCGTGTGGGGATTTGGAGGATGCGGGATGCCAGACTCAGTCTCAGGAATTCTGGGGGCAGGCCTCATGTGATGGGAATCTGGAGGGGGTGTGGGGGAATTTTGTGTGCTAGGGCCAGAGCATCCCAGGAATACTGGGATGGGAGGTCTCAGTCCATGCAGCAATAGAGGCGAGCAGATCCCCGGGGGTGGGGTGGGGGGGGGGGGAGGAGGAGGAAAGAGTGAAATTCACCAGAGGGATGCTCCTAAAGGCTGAGGGAGCAGCTGTCCTCAGCCCACCCCTCCCCCCGTGCCTCCGCTTCTACCGTCTGAGCTCGGCTCCGGTTTTTGGCTTGGGTGACTGTTCCTCCTTCCCCCACATTGCTGCTATTTTTTTTTTTTTCGTGATGGGTTGCCCTCCTGGGGTGAAGGGTAGGAGGCTAGGAGACCCTCCGGTAGCTTAAAGGCTAGCCCGACCCACATGGAGGTCCCCACCCGCTTCCCTGAATGCCCCTTCCCTCGCACGCAGCATGCAGCCCCTGGCGGCTTATTGCTGAGGTGGAGTTGGAGAGGGTGGGGATCCAGTTTTGGGGAGGCATGCAGAGTAGTGGGGAGGCGCCCCAAAATGTAATTGATATAGTTTGGACGTATTTACACGAGTCGATTCGGGGCGGGGGGATTCCTATGGTTCATGGAGACCTGAGGCTTTTTTTCAGGAGGGGCGAATAGTTGGGGGGATGGGCTTTGGCTCCTCCCCCCCTCCATCCTGGGGGCCCAGGTGGAGGTGAGGGGCCCGGGGGTGTCTGCTGGCATCGTCGTCTCGGTTGCATATTATTAATGACTGTTTGATTTTTAAAAAAAAAAACCCTTTCCCCCACCCCCCACCCCCAGCTCCTTTGACCTTCTTCCCTGTCACCCCCGAGTCCCCCCACGGGGGGGAAGGGAGCGCTAGAGGATGGAGGGCAGGGTTGGGGGAGCGCGGCGGGCGGCCCTGGGAGAGCCAGGGGGAGTGGCAAGGGGGGCGAGGCGCAGGGACACCCCGCTCAGGCCCGCGATGCTGCTCAGGCTGCGGGATTTCTCGTAACCTGGGTGGGGGGGGGGGGGGGAGGGGCAGAAACACGGGGAGGAATCGAGGAGATAGGGGTGCAGGGGGAGGGTCCAACAGACAGAGGGACCCCAAGACAGAGAGAAGCAGGAGGGAAACAGAAGGGATATGAGATGGAAAAAGAGAAGACAGAGACAGGAAAAGGCAAGAGACAGGAAGAGATGGAGAGGGCGAGTCAGAGAGAGAAGGCAGGTGAGAGAGACGGTGAGGGAGACAGAGAGGATAAGAGATGGAGAGACAGACACCAAGACACAAAGTGACAGATGGCAAGAGACGGAGAGATGGACAGAGGCGGACCAAGGAGACGGAGAGAGAGAGAAGTGAACAAATTGGACAGTCAGTCGGCGTCAAGGAGAAAGGTTCAGACATGGGGAGGGGGGAGAGACTCAGGGTTAGGAGGCAGGGTGGCAGCCACCGAGCCTCCCCCACCCCACCCCCACCGCAGCCCCCCTCAACTCCCCTCCCCCCTGTTGGCCCCCTCGTCTGAGGCAAAACGGTGGGGGGCAGCGAGGCAGATGGTGGGCAGCACGGGCGTGGGGAGGGAGCGTGGGTGGAATGCCAGTGGGGGAGCAGCCGGTGGAGAGGCCTTGGGAGGGAATGGGTGGGGCTGCAGTGGGTAGGGGGCTAACCTAGATGTAGAGAAATGAAGACAGGCGGGTGGGGACGCTGTGAGGGGCTGAATGGAGCACAAGTTGGCAGTGCCTCCTCCCTGGGCAGGGCGGGGGTGGTGCAGGAGGGCAGCTCCTAGAGCAGTCTGATGAGGGCAAGACTCAGCTGAAGGCTGTAATGGGGTATCTTAAAGGGTCAAGAAGCCTTTAAACGAGAACCTTCTGATGGGAAGGTCCTGACAATGTCTTGATAGTCAAAGGGATCTAAGGCTTAGGGGCACATGTGGGGTTTCTTGAAAACTTAGGAATGTCTGAAGAGTTCTGCCACTGTCTGGGTTCTTCTAGGGCTTTGCTAGGCAGTACGAAGGGGTCTGTCTGGACGAGGGCATCTTGACTGTTGGAGAGAGGGCCTGGGGGAGGTTGGAAGCCCAGTATCTTGGGGACACCCCCTCCCAGCCATTCCCAATTGCTAACCTGGGGGGAAGGGGCAGGGGGGGACCGAGGGTCTCACGAGGTCTCAGGCGGTGACAAGAGCTGGGGACAGAAATACACAGAGTCACGGGGGGGCGGGTGGGCAGGGGGAACCCCCCAACACAGCCTCACTGTTGGGGGGACGGAGAAAAGCTGAGATCTCTTCCTCCTCTCTGGTGTTTTCCGGGGGAGGGGAGCAGTGAAATGGGGGCGGCCAGAGACATCAAATATGGAAGGAGCTTCCGGGGTGGCTGAGGGGGAAGGGGAGGATGAAGGAAAGAGGAGGGGGAGGGCTGGGGAGGAGGGGGGAGTGCGGGTCAGGTGTGGGAATCAGGTGGTTGGTGAGGGGAGACGGAGAAGGGAGGGGTCATGGGGCGGGTGAGGGTCAGGTCAGGAGGAAGGATCTTGGTTGGGGGGTAATAGTGGAGGGTGGGTCCTGGAGGAAGGTTAGTTAGGAAGGGAGGCGTGTGGAAGAGGGAGGGATCCAGGACCTTGGGGGAGGGAGTTCAGTCAGCCCCATCAGCTCCAGCCATAATTTGAGTTCAATGAATGGATTTTGGCATCCGAGGCAAGAGAAGCAGGGAACTCCCCCCACCGGCCCCCCCCAGTCCTCCCTCACCCACATTCCCGAATCCTCCCCCCTCCCCCTGCCCCTCAATTCCATAGGGGCCCATCCAGACCTGGGAGTGGGGAACAAAGGGAGGTGGGTAACAGGACTGGGTGCAAGCAGGGCGAGGGGTGAGATGGGAGCGGGGAGGCAGGGGGTTGGTAATGAGATGAAAGTGGAGGATGATGGAGGTGGGGGGTGGGTTGCAACAAGGAGAGGTCCGGGGATAGAACAAGAAGAGCCAGACAGTCCCCTCTGGACTAGGACCCCAGAAGCCTGGGTTCTTGTCCCCCATCTGCTCTGTGGCTGGGGGTTGGCCATGGACCTCCCTGAACTTCTGTAAGACAAGGGGGTTTAGATGCGGCTGTCCTTGGAGGCTCCCTAAGTCCTGCTGTGGCATCTCCTTAGGCTGTGGGTAGGGATTCTTTAGGATGTATCTCTGTATTGCGAAGGGAGATTCCACAGGCATGTGTTGAATGAATAAGCGATAGATCAAATGCTTTCAGGTGGCCTCCCATCATTTTTAAGATCAAATCCAGCCTCTCACCATGGCCAAAAAAACCTTCCCCCCCAGACTCCTCCCCTCTCCCTTAGGCCACTCAGCTCCAGCCACACTTCCCTCCTCGCTGTTCCTTTAACAGACCAAGCTCATCCCACCTCAGCACCTCAGGCAGCACCTCAGGGCCTTTTCACTTGCTGTTTCTTCTGCCTGGCTGGAGCTTTTTCAGCTTTCAAATTTCATGTCACCTTCTCAGAAAGACTCTCACCCCTTCTCTGACCTGGCCAGAGTAATTATCCTTTTGTTTGTTTTCTGCTTCCTCCAATCATGGAGTGGCAGACATTCGCTGTAAAGGGCCAGATGGTCAAAATTTTCGGGGCTCTGTGGGCCATACCATCTCGGTCGAAACTATTCCAGTCTGCGGTTGTAGACAGTGGCTGTGTTCCAATAAAGCTTTATTTACAAAACAGCTGGTGGACACATTTGGCCCCTGGCTGTAGTATGTTGACCCAGGCTCTAGAGTAGCAACTCTGTGATGGCAGATTCTTGCTTTGTGCCCTGCTAAATCCCCAGTGCCTGGAATTCTACCCTCAATCATCAGTTGCTGCATGCATGCATGAATGAATGAAGTTAGGGGTTAGCTGGGGTGGTTGTGAGGATTACAGAATATATGTTGGATTCCTGGCACGTGGCAAGTGCTTCGTTATGTTTGCTGAATAATTCATCTACTGTCTCCTCACTCTATCTCCCTCACCTCCCCCACTGGCCAGTCCTGACCCTGCTCTCTTGACCCCTGGCCCCCCGACTCTGTCTCTTTCCTTCCTCTCCACCCCCATAGCCCTGACCCCGGCTCAGGCTTTGTCCTCTCCCCCTGGACCCTCATCCCAGCCTCCTCCCCAGCCTCCTGAACTGCAGTCTCCCCACTCAGGTGCGTCCTCACGAAGCCCCAGAGCAGACCCGCCTCTCCCCAGATCCTGGGACAAGGCTCCTCAGCCCAGCCCTGCTTCTCGGCCTCAGTTCTAGGTCTGTGTCTGCCTCTCCCCCAACCTGAGAGCTCGTGGAGGGCGGGGGTGCGGTTGGATTGCTCACTGCTGAGTCCCCTGGGCCTAGCGCTGCACCGGGAGCCTGTGTGTGCTTTGTCAGTGCTGGCCAATCCACAAGGGACTGCGTGAGTGGCTGAGTCTGTCCCACCCCAACCTGCGCCCAGAAGAATGTCCTGGGTGTGTACCCCATTTTCTTGGTTAAATAAACAAAAGCAAAACCAAGGGGGGAGGCAGGGAGAGAGATGTGGATGGGGCTGAGAATGGGGGTCAGTCGTAAGGGCGGGGAGGGAGGTCAGGCACATGGTGGGGAGGGGTGGGCTTAGTTCTAGGGGTTAGTGAGGGGCACCGCAGGTCCTGGGCAGGTGGGTGCGGGGCCAGTGTCAGGGCTGGGGGTTAATTGGATGGAGCTGTTCGGAGTGAGGGGACAGGAGTCTTGGTCAATGGGGGCTGCATGTTCTCAGATGGGTTAGTCAGGAGGGAGGGGGTTCAGAGGGTGGGGGCTACTTACCCTGGGGGGAGGGGGTTCGTCCACTAGGGGGATATCCAGGCTGCAGCGTTGGCGTTGAGGTCGGGCAAGAAGCTTGGGGGGCCTGGCTTACGCCAGTCTTGGGGGGGCAGTGGGGGAGCACCAGTGGCTGGGGGTGGGGGAAAAGGCCAGAGGGTCGGGGGGGGGGGACATGGAGATGGAATAAAGACAGGTGAAGGGTCAGTGGTGAGGAAATTTGGGGGAGGGCGTCTAAGAGGGAGGGAATTTGGGGCCAGGAGATGGGGGAAGGGAAGTCCAGCACCTCCTCCCTCATCTCCCTCTCTCCCCTCCCCTGGGGGAGGGGAGGAGAGGGAGGGTCCCAGGGGGCCAGTGGAGGGCACCTCACCTTTCCGGATGGAGCCATCAGGGGAAGGGGCATAGTCAGTGAGCAGGAAGCAGGCTCGGTCCCGGCTGTAGCGGCCCCGGCTCCCGGGGGTGATGGGGCTCTTGTCTTCTGGTGACATGGCGGGCTGGTCAATAGCTGGGCAGTCCTCGTGGGCAAGCGCAGCTGCTGCAGGGTCCCCGTTGGGGCGAGGATCTGTGTCCCGAGGGTCAGACAGAGACACAAAGGAGAGAGTGAGGTGTGGGAACTCATGGAGAGGGCAAGGTCAGCAAGGAGAGGTGATGGAGGTGCAGGTGGTTAGGGGGTGTGGCTGGTGGGTTTGGGGAGCGGGTCCTGGGTGGGGAGGGTGTTGAGTGTTGGGAAGGACAAAAGGGTAGGGAAGGGCGTTGAAGGCTAGGAAGTGGGGGTCAGGCGGGGTGTTGGGTTCTGAGAAGGGCAGGACTGAGGTAGGGTGTCGGGTGTTTGAAGGGACAGGGACGGGGGGAAGAGGTGGTTGGGAAGTGAACTGGGTGCTGGGAAGGAGGCTGAGACAGAGTGGAGGGTGGGATGGTTGGTTGAAGTGGACCAAATAGGGCACAGCTGGGGTAGGGTGCATGGTTTCGGATAGGTTTGGAGGGATGGCTGGGAGGGATGCAGGGGGCTGGGAGGTGGTAGTTTAGGGAGGGGTGTCGGACGCTGCCAAGGGCACAGTGGGAGGCGTTGGGAAGGTGACAGATGAGGGAGGGGGGAGGTGGGGGTCCCCCAGGCTCTGACTTTAGCTATTTTTAATTGGTGTGAAACTGGGTCAGTGGCTGAGGGAGCAAGATGGGGGCCGGGCAGCCCAGCTCCCTTTCTTGACCTACTTACGGCATGGGGGTGGGGCCCCCCAGCCTCTCCCTTCCCTGGGACTGATGCCCCAATCACTGCCTCTGAGACACAGACTCCCCTGGGGGGGGAGAGATGAGCACAGGCTCAGTCAACTTTCCTCTCCCCTCACCTCCTTCATCAGACACTGCAACAGTGCCCTGTCCTCGGTCTCTGGCCCCTGATTCCCATGTGAGACTCTCTCCCTGTGCTCTGAACCGCCCCCCCCATCTCTCTTTCTCTGAGTCCCTCTCACCATATGGCTGATCGCTCTGCCCCCCACCCCCCTGGTTCCCCTGAATACCTTGGCTGCAAGTCTGTCTCTCCCCAAAACTCTCCTTCACACGAAATCTCTGTTTCTCCATCACTATTTCCGTGCCTCTTCTCTGGCCTCAGCAATTGCTGTTCACTGTCCTCTCTTCCGTCTCTGTTGCTGACCACCCCATCTCTCCGGAGTCTCAGCAACTACCTCCTGCCCCCCTCACAACCTCCCCACCTCTGCCTGTGCCCCCCACCTCCACCCCTCGCGCCCCCTCCTCACCTGCCCGGTTGATCTCAATCACTTCCTCCTGAGCCAATGGGCAAGGCTCCCCAGGGGCAGGCAGAGGAGGCAGCCCCATGATCCCGAGCCCACCCGCTCCCCCCCTGAGCAGCCCGGGGTGCGTGTGGGGCCCTGGTGGGTAGGCCCCTGCCACAGTCACCCCCATGGAGGGCGGGGTGATGGGTGGTGGAGGGCTGATGCTGCCGCTGCTGTGGTGAGGATGGGGCGGGGGCGGTGGCGGTGGGTCGGGCTTGCAATAGTTGGGCGAGCCGGGCTGCGGAGGCCGGGGAATATGTTTATTCTTCTTCTTGGGCAGCTTCTGTTTGGCCATGGCCAGCGAATAGTACATGCCAAAGTTGTTGACAATGACGGGCACGGGCATGGCGATGGTGAGCACCCCAGCCAGGGCACACAGCGCCCCAACCAGCATCCCTGACCACGTCTTGGGGTACATGTCTCCGTAGCCCAGGGTTGTCATGGTGACCACGGCCCACCAGAAGCCGATGGGGATGTTCTTGAAGTAGGTGTGGTTGGAGCCCAGGATGTCATCGGGGTCAGCGCCAATGCGCTCAGCGTAGTAGATCATAGTGGCGAAGATGAGCACACCAAGCGCCAGGAAGATGATGAGTAGCAGGAACTCATTGGTGCTGGCACGGAGAGTGTGGCCCAGCACGCGCAGCCCCACGAAGTGCCGCGTGAGCTTGAAGATGCGCAGGATCCGGACAAAGCGGACGACCCGCAGGAAGCCCAGCACGTCTTTGGCGGCCTTGGAACTGAGGCCCGAGAGCCCCACCTCCAGATAGAAGGGCAGGATGGCCACACAGTCGATGATGTTGAGGCTGCTCTTGAGAAATTCCACCTTGTCTGGGCAGAAGGTGATGCGCATGAGAAACTCAAAGGTGAACCAGACGACACACACACCCTCCACGTAGGTCAGGAAGGGCTCCGTCTCCACCTCCACATTGGTGATGTTCTCCGGCGGAGCCCCAGGGATCGGGGAGGCCTGCGTCACTGTCTTGTTGCTGATGTGGATGAAACCCTCGTGGGTCTCCAGGCAGAAGGTGGTGATGGAGATGAGGATGAAGAAGAGGGAGGCGAAGGCCACGTACTGCGGGGCAGGATAGGAGAGAGAGAGCAAAAGGTGACCCAGGCATCTGGTCAATTAGCCGTCTCCCTGAGACCCTCCCAGTGGCCCCTTTCCCAGACACAAACTCCAGGGAAACCCAGGTGTCCCAACCCCAGTGCCTCCATCACTTCTTGCATCCTGTTCTCTCTAAATCTTGCAAAAGGATCAGAGGCAGCTCTCCCCCAGCTCAGGAGAAGAGCTGGCCCCAGAAGCAGCAGCAGATGGGCCACTTCTTTCCTGGAAACAGCAATTTTTGCCTCCTTGCTCTGTCTCCTAGACCATCCCCCCCGCTCCTGTTCCCTGTGTCGTATCTCAGGGGTCCCTGGCAGGGTCCAAGCATTCTGCTGGGGGATGTGGGTAGGGAGACTAAGATCATACATCCTGTGTCTCAGAGGCTTTGGGGCTTAGCTTGGAGCTGAGGGAAGGCGAAGGGGAGAAGGTGGGTCGGAGGCAGAACCAGGAGGTGGTTAAGAGTAAGAAAGCCTGGGTTTGAATCCAGCTTTTTCCCTGCCTAATTGAGCAAGGAGATTAATCTTTCTGAACCTCAAATTTTTTACAGGATTATTGTAAGGATTACATTAGATGAGTATACAAAGGGCCTGACTCCAAAACTAGTGCTTGGCCTAGTGTTTGGAGCTTAGTAAGGCTTGAGCCGTTATTAGGGTGTTGCGGCATCAGTTAAAGGGGGCCAAGGTTGAGGCCTCAGATAGGCGCCGGTGCTTAAGGACCTTGATGCTAATGACTGGGTCTCAGAAAAGGGAGAAGGCTGAGTGAGGCCCTCACCCAGAGAGAACAGCGCAGAGTTGGACCCACAGAGGGGAGGAGGGATGTTAGGTCCCTGAAGGAAGAAGGAGGTGAAGGGTCAAGACTGAAAAAAGGGAAGATGATAGGGGTGGGGTTTAAGGCTCTGGAAAGGAAGGGAATGTCAGGGGCTTGAACATAGGGCAAGGGGAGAGGGCAGGGCTAGGCCCAAGGAGAGGTGAAGGGGCTTGTCAGAGGTTCAGAGATATGGGGGCAGGGGTGCCTGGTTCATTTCAAGATGGTCCTGAGCCCAATGGTGTGGGTTTTGATGAAGGCCTTGAGAAGAGACAGGGTCAAGCTCTTGGAGAAGGCCCCTAGAAATTGTAGTTGGCTTTATCAGATATGTAGAAGGGAGGTCGAAGGAGTGGGGTTAGTCCTTAGAGAAGGAAGGGGATGGGCTTTGAGGCAGAGGGGGCTTTAATCAGATGGGTAGAGGAGAGATGGCCTGGGGTGCAGAGAAGAGAGGAGAGCCAGGGTTGGCTCCAGGGCCAGCACTGTCCCTCTCAGCACTCCCTTTCCTCCACAGGATGGGGGGCAAGGTCCGGGCTTGGGAGACCTTGACTTTAATCTTAAGTGCAGAGCCGAGAGGCGGGCCAGCGTCCGCCTCAGAGATGACCCTAGATCTTGGGGTGGGCTAGGGCTCAACTCTGGCCCTCTGCCCCGCCCCCCTCTTCGTTTCTCCGCAGTGGTTTAAGAGGCCAGAGGCCTCCGCAGAGCGCATGCCTGGTGCTCCCCCGCCCCCCTCCGAGCCGGGCGCAGGGCGCAGGTTGCGGCACCGCAGTGGGGGCGGGCCGGATGGACCAGGGGGCGGGGCGCGCGGGGGGCAGCACCACGGACAGCTCCCCCCACCGCAGTGCGCAGCCGCAAGGCCTGAGAGCTGTCTTAACCCATTCCAGGCCGTTGCCGAGCAGGCAGTGCGCAGCCGCAGTGCCGCTTCACAGCGGGAGGCCACAGGCCAGGAGCTTGATTAACTCCTTCCCTCCCGGGACACAGAAAGAAAGGTGGGCACCCGTCGCAGTGCGCAGCTTAGAAGCTGGACAGCGTCAGGACCCCCTTGTCCAGAGATGCTTCAAAAGCAGAAGGGGTAGGAGGGCATGGAGTCCCTGTAAGAAGGAAAGAGGAGATTATGGGGAGAGGAGTGAGGGGGAGGTAGAGTCGGACCCTCCACTTTGCGTTGGCCTCAACTCTCAACTCTCAAACTCTCATGTGGCGGCTAGAAGATGCTTGGCACTACGTGGACACTCAAAACACATCTGTAAAGTAAATGAATGTTCCCCATAGCTGTCCCAGACCCCTAGTTTCACCTCAGAACACTTCAATGGGGTCACAAGAGGGAAGGGCTCCCCAGGCCATGCGGGGAGGGTGCCGCTCAGAGGCCTGAGGGGGCATATAGGGCCACGTCCTTTCTGCACCTCCTCTCCCCCACCTCCCCCCCACCCAACCCCAAATCTTGCCAACTCAGCGCTTCCCGGGGACCAAACTTTATGCGGTGCCTCCGGCCCCCCTCCCCCTCGCTCCCTCCCCCAGTGCGAATGCGGCACTGCGGGTCCTCCGTGTCCTTCCTGGCCGGCCCAGGACGCGGCACGGTGGGGGGAGGGTGCCGGACTGCCTCCTCCGAGTGTTTGGGTCCCCAGGAGGCTAGAAAGGGGCCTGGAGTCTCTCCTCTTTCCCTCCTCTCTCTAATTTCCCACCCCCACATCTTGAACTGTCCTCTCTCCTCCAACACAGGGAGGAAGTTAAGAGGAGGAAGAGGTTCAAATGAGAACCAGGGGGAAGGATAGCTGTTTAGCCTGGGAAGTTACAGATGTTTGAGGAAAGTTTTTTTGTGGGGGGAGACGAAGAGAGCTTTGGGGGAAATATGGAATTTTGAGAGAGATAAGACTGGAGAGAGGAGAAGGCTGGAGTGTGGGCTCTTTGGTTCACTTTGCGGGGGGCAGAGGGGGGTCTGAGAGGCCCAGTCCTGTGCTTTGGAATGGGTAGTGGGGGGGGGGCGTTAGGAAAGGGGAAGTGAGCAGGGCCTAGGGAGGTGCGTCAGGTGGGAAGATACCAAGGTAGATCAGAAAGACCTGGGAGCTATTTTGAGGAGGAAGTTTGGGGGCTGATAACTTGAGGAGGGTCCCAAGGATTGAGGTTAGGTAAAGTTCTGGAGCGGGAAGGAAAGTCATTTACCCACTAGGAAAGAGGCTGGGAGGCTGAGGGTGGGAGGAGGGCGTCCCAGAGATAGAGAGTGGGCTATGCAGTTTAAAGATGAAGGAAGAAGTTGGGAGAATCTGTGGATGAGAGAGAAGCTATTCTGGAGGGCATATGGGAAGTTCTGGAGAGGAAAAACATATCATGGGGGCTCAGGACTCTTCTGGAGACATTAAGGAGGAGTGTGAAAGCCTTGGGGGAAGTCTGGAGCTGTATGGGGAAATCCTCGGGAGGGGAGTTGGTGTGGAGGATGCAGGAAGGGATGTGAACACAGAGGGGGCAGCAGGGTCCCAGGAGAGAAGAAGCCCCAAGACTCTGTTGCAGTGAGGGGGAAGTATACTAGCCAGAGCAAGTGGTTTGGAGGTTCAGAGGAGTCCAGGGGACTCTGAGATTGGGGTGGGAACTATTCTGAGACTTTAAGGGCAGAATAAGCAAGGGGGGTTCAAAGGTAACCAGGAGACTCAAACTTGGAGATAGGGAGGGGATGTGGAGACGGGCAGAAGGAGAATCAGAGGTGCTGGGAGAGGCTTCAGGACTGAAGACTGGAAGCTAGAGAGCAGGCTTCAGAGGGTCTGCAGGGGGTGGAGACAGTATTCACAGGGCCTGGGACACTTTGAGGGTTAGAAAGAGATGTCTTCTGAGGATCTAAGGAGGTACAAGAAACTGAAGGCTGGACAAGGGTCTTCTGAGGGTCTGAGGGGTGGCCAAGAGAGGTGAGAAGAGGTTAAAAGGGGCTAAGAAGACTCAGGGTTGAGGAAATGTCTTCTGAGAGTCTCAGGAGGGGTCCAGGAAAGGCAGATGTGGGGTTGTTCAGGGGGTGTGTTTAAGAGATTCATGGTCAGAAAGGAAGTTTCTAAGGGCCTACGATGGCCTAGATAAGCTGGGTGGGGTTTAGAGAGGTCTGGAGTATTCTCAAGGTGGCAAAGAGATCTTCTGAGGATCTGGGGATAGCCGGGAGACGGGGGTGTGTTCAGAGTATGGGAGACTAAGAGGCTGGGAGGCCGAGAGACCAGGAAGGGCTGGGAAGGACCAGGGATTAAGGGCGAGGATGGGGCGTTTCTGAGGGTCTGGGAGCTCCAGGAGAGGGGAGGGGGATGGGGGCTCCGAGAGTACGCTCACCCTGGCGGCCCGCGACGAGTAGGGGTCCTCGAAGAGCGCCCACACGCGGGGCTGCCAGCGGCGCCACCACGTGCCGCCCGCGCCGCCCGCGCCTCCTGGCGGGCCCCCGGCGCCGCCGCCAGCGTCCTGGAAGCAGAGGCGCTTGAGCTCGCCGCCCGCGCCGTCCAGGCCGCCGCCGCCCGCGCCCGCCTCGTCGTCCAGGCCCGCGTCATGGGCGCCCGCAGCGTTGGCAGCGTTGGCGGCGCCCGAGGGGTCGGGTGCCTCGAAGGAGTCGAGCGCTTCCTCGGCGTCCCGGTGCTGCCGGTAGGTCATCCAGCAGCAGGCCTCCACGTCGGTCTCGTCGATGCCCCAAAAGCCGAGCTCCTCCTCGAAGAGCGGCCCGCACACGTCGGCCGGGCAATGCAGCTTGCCAGTGCGGTAGTAGTTGAGCACGTAGGCGAAGACACCCGGATGCCGGTCAAAGAAGAACTCATCGGCGCCCGGGTCGTAGTCGAAGCGCGCCGCCGCCTCGGGCTCCGTCAAGCCGGCCAGCCGCGTCCCCGGCAGGGTGCGCAGCGTCGAGCGGTACGTCTCATGGCGCACGCCGCCCACGTTGATCACGATCTTGCCACTGTCGCCACCGCCGCCGCCGTGCCGCCCCATGGCCGCCGCCGGCAGCCCGGGGCATGGCTCGGCGCGCCGGCCCCCGGGCCCGCGGGGTGCCGGGGGGCCCGCCGGGGACGCGGCGGGGCCGGGCTGCGCAGGCTGCTGCTGCTGCTGCAGCGGCGGCGGTGGCGGTGGCGGTGGCGGCGGGGGCAGCGGCAGCGGGGACTCGGACGGCTGCGGCGGCGACACCGGCTGCTGTTTGCTGGACCCCTGGCGCCCGCGGAAGGATGAGACGCAGACTGAGCTCAGCATTGGATGGGGGGCGGAGAGGGAGGGGCGGGGTATCAGGGGGCGGGGCCGCAGGGGAGAGAGATGTGATTGGGTGATAGGAGGTGATGGAGGGAGGGGGCGAGACCGCAGGGAGGGAGAAACTGAATTGATTGGCCTGGGAAGAGGTGGGGGCGGGGCTAAAGCTGAGAGAAGGGCCCGGACTCCAACTCCGCCTAGCTGGTCGGGGCGGGGCCGCAGATGGAACACACCGATTGGGTCTTTCTGGGATAAGGGGCGGGGCCGAGCGAGGTGTTAAGGCAGGATGGGAGGCTAAAGTTGCCTGGTTTGACAGCACTGGGAGAACAGAGGAGGCGGGGCTAAATATAAGAAAGAGATCTGATAGAACTAAGAAAAGGAGCGGGTCGGGCAGAGGAAGGGGACAGGTCCGAGCTATTTAAAGGGGCCTGACTGTCCGTGACTGGCGGAGTCAGGGGCAGGGCCACAGTCGGGGCGGTCGTCTGGATTGCATAGAGACGGACCTAAAGAGCCGGCAAGCAATACCCGGTGAAGTGGGGCAGATGGAGACTGCCGGGTTGAGCTCCTAACATTGATTGGACGGGGCAGAGCGGATCTTAAGAAGAGGCAGCGCCACAGAAATTAGAAACAGTCCTAATTGGGCTGGGAGAGTGAGGGGGCGGGACTGAATGAGGGGCGGGAACTGGAAATGGAGAGTGGCACTAGACTGGACAGAAAGGGGACACGGCAAGGGGAACAGGGACTGAGACCCAGTGAGAAGGGGCGGAAATGGGCGAGGCCTGAAAACCTGAGAGCTTCTGGCTAGGACTAAGGGAGGCGAGGAAAAGAAGGGGAAGGGTCGGAGCTGCAAACGCGGCCCGTTTAGCCGTGGCTGGGCCGGGAGAATGTCAGGAAGGATTCGGAGGGACTGCGGGAGGTGGGTGGGATCCACGAATGGTAAAATAAGTCTTGAATGGGCTGTGGAAAGGCAAGACTAAGGGAGGAGCGGCGCTTTAAGGGATTTGAAAGCAACCAGGCTAGGTGGGGGCGGGGCAGGGCTAAGAGTGTAGAGAATGGCTAAGGAAAAGGTGAGACCTGCAGAGTACAAAGCTACCGGGATGGACGGAGCGGTGGGACCTAGAACGGGAAGTCTTGGGGGCCAGAGAACCTGGGAGATAGTTCTAAGGGTCAGTAGGGCCTTAGAAGGGGGAACGAGGTGAGGGAAAGTGGGCGAGGTCTAGATAACGGCGGACTGCAGCCAGCAGAACCAAGGGATGGATGAGAACTGGTAAGGAGAGTCTTAAGAGAGGCGGAGGGGAGAAACCAAAAGGCCGGGAAACAAAGTCTAGGCTGAGGCAATAGGCGGGGCCAATAGGAAATTGGGCGGGATTAGGTTTCAGAGAGTCCTGGTGGGAGGGCAGAAAGTTGGGGCGGGGCCAATGGTGGGCGGGGCCAGAACTAGGCGGACGGCCCCGGAGCCTGTCAGGCCCCGCCCCCTGGGCTGGACTGGACCCCGGGTGGTAGAGCGCAGGCGCGGCGGCTGGGGCGGGGCCAGCGGCTGCGGCTGGGGCTGCGGCGGCAGGAGGCTGTGCCTGTGGGAGGGAAGTGGGTGGGTCAGGGGCTGCGGGCGTCCCAGGTCTGCACTGCTCCCAGCCCGCCTCCTCCCTCTGCAGGTACGGCGGCTGGTTGGTATCGCCTCCCTCTCCACCCCGACTCCCGCTTCTGTGTCTCTTAGTGTCTCTTTTTCTCCCCTTTTCTGAATATTTGTCCCCCTGTCTCTGCCCTTACTCCTCTGAGGCTCTGGCCCCTCCTTACTCTGCGCTCCCTCTGGTTCTCTGTCCCATTGTTCTCTGTATCTGTCCCCCTCCTTCTGAGTCTTGCCCCTCTTCTCTCTAAGCCTCAAGTCTCCTCTCCCCTAACTGTGTCTCGATCTCCCCACCCCCCGTCTCATCTTGCCCTCTGGACCTTTTTCTCGGATTTGCCTCTCTCTGGGTCTCTGTTCCCTCCAGTCTCTGTCCCTCCTCTTTGTGTCTCTGTCCTCCACTCCCCCCCCACCCCGCCATCCCAGGGCATCCCAGGCTCCCTCCTCTCTCTGGTCTCTGCCCATCCATCTGGGTCTCCGTCCCCCTAGCTCTTGTTCTTTTACTACCTCCTTCCCCGTGTCTTTTTCCCCTCCTCCGTCTCTTTTCCCCCTCTGTCACTGCTTTTTCTCTTTCTGTCCTTTTTCTTTCTTTCCCTTCCCTGGGCCTCTATCCCCCACCCCCACCCCATGCCTCTTTCACCCCTTTCTGAATCCCTGTCCCCCTTTTTCTGGGTCTCTATCCCCACTTCTTTGGGGCTCTGTCCTGCTGTCCTTCAGTCTCTGTCCCTCCCTCTGGATTTCTGTCCCTTTCTCTCAGGCTCTCACCGCATCACCGTCTCTAATCCTCAACCTGGCCAGGACTCGAGGCTGCGTCACTGCAGAGAGTTGCAGAAGTGGGGCCCGTCCTGCGGACCAGGGAGGTAGTTTACCTCAACTCCCCCCACTGCCCCCTGATCCACTGTTCTCAGGCAGTCCTCAAGCCCCCGTGGGACCCAGGAGGGTAGAGAAAAGACATCGGGGCTTCCTACTCTGCTCTGCCCCGGATTCTGGTGTATCCCCAGGCAGAAGCAGTGAATCCTGAGGTGAGGGAATGGTCTTGGGTTGAGTGAGGCTTCTAGGCAGGTGGGGCGTGGGGGTGGATGCTGGGGCCGGCGTTGGGTAGGCACTAGGAGCTGGGAGTAAGGGCTAGGGTAAGGACCTAAGTCAGCCATCCTCCCTTATACCCTCCCCCCACCCTACCCAACTCTACTTTTCTCTTCAGCCTTTGATAGCAGCCAGGCAGGTGCGGGCTGGGGCAGAGGGAAGTGGGGAAGGCAGGGATGGGGTGGGGGGGAGCGAGGAGGCTGGAAGAGGGGAGAATAGGGAATGAGACTCGGGATTAAAGACCGTGGGATTGGGGGAAGAGGCTCGGTCAAGGATGATCCAGACTCCATCAGGCCCTGGGAAATTTGGGTGCCGTCACTCCCACATGGCCCTCTCCAGGCCCCACCAGGGTATGCGGGGATTTGTGAGCCTGAATTCTCCACCCATAGGGGAGGCTTCTGGAGACATAATGAGGGCTTGGGTTATGGGACACCCAGCTCGGCAAACAGGCCAGAGGGACGTGGACTCGATTTTTAGCGACGGACACCAGGGGAGGGGAGGCCAATGTCTGTTCGCGTCTTCAGACCCTTTCCCCATCCCTCCTCCTTCCCAGTCTATCCCTTCTCAGGCCTTCAAGGCACAAAATTCCTGAAAGCCCCAGACTCTCACCTCAGTCATCCTTGGCGCCGCCTCCTAACTCTCCCTCCCCCATTCCCCAAAGCCCTGGAATTGGGGAAGGGTCTTCCCCTTCCTGACTTCCAAGACCCCTTCCTTGTTCCTCCGTGCCCATTCCTATCAGTTCTAAATCCAGGAAAGACGATCTTCCAGGCACTAAAGCTGAAAATGTGGGGACTCTGCCTACGATCCTTGGTCCCCCGAGACCCTCCAATTACCTCTCCGCTGTAACCTTTGAGTCCTCCTCTCCCGAGTCCCCCGCCTCCAAAACTGGGATTTGGGCTGTCTTACCGCCCCCGGACCCTGTGCCTTCTCCCCCTCCCCCGTACTCACCCCAAGTCGAGGCGGGGCGGGGATGGGGGAATCCGGGATTAGCGATGGGGGGAGGGGTGACCCAGCCCCGCAGCTCTGGGCAGCGAGAGGCTGCGGAGGAGGGTAGTGACATCATCGCCGGAGGAGGGGCAGCCCAGCTCCCCCCAACCCGGGGAATCCCAAGGGTAGAGAAGAACAGGAGATTAAGTGTGCGGGAATGGTATCTCCTCCCGTTAGAACAAGGGTTGGAAAATCCTTTACGATTTCAGCCACCCCCCACTGCCACCTGTCGCTGCCGTCGCGACCTGTTGCCTCCCACGCGTGTTGTGGCTGCGCCCGCCCCCGTTAGGACGTGAACACCGCCTAGACTACAACGTCCGTGATGCTCCGCGGCGTCGAGTGCATTTGAGGAGAGGCAGTGTAGGCGAGAGGCTTCATGGGCTTCGTAGTATAGGACCCTCGCACCAGTGTGCGCCTTGGAGAGGAATGATACCTTTCTCCTTCCTTTCTTTCTCAACTCCAGAGAGCCGGACACTAACTTTTTTCTGAAAAAAATCACGCGCTTAAAAAAAAAAGGGGGGCTTCCCTGGTGGCGCAGTGGTTGAGAGTCCGCCTGCCGATGCAGGGGACACGGGTTCGTGCCCCGGTCAGGGAAGATCCCACATGCCGCGGAGCGGCTAGGCCCGTGAGCCATGGCGGCTGAGCCTGCGCGTCCGGAGCCTGTGCTCCGCAACGGGAGAGGCCACAACAGTGAGAGGCCCGCGTACCGCAAAAAAAAAAAAAAAAAAAAAAGGAAGAGACCCAGGTAAGTTTAATAGAAATAGATTTTTACTGAGTATCGGGGGATGCGCATGCGCATAACCAGGGCCTCAACCGGAGAACTGCGCCTGCGCAAGCCCACGCTTTCACTGTCCTGCTCCACGAGCTCGAGCGCGCCCAAGCCCCACTCGCGCCCCGCTTTTCCTGTCGCCACGGTCGAAGACGGCCACGTAGCTGCCCAAGAAGACATCGCCCCGCAGAGGGGCCCTGCGGGCGGAGGCATGTCCAGAGCCTGGAAGCCAGACAAGCAGAGACGGACGCCACCCCGAGGAATCTACAGGGCGACAAGACGGATCACAGGTGTCGTGTCACGCCCACCGGTGTTCCTTCTTCCTACGAGCCAGAGCTTCGCCCCGCCCACTACCGTGGGCACTAGAAATGTTTATGTGGTTCCTGCTTGGCCCTAGTGATGTCTCACTCCCAGCCCCACCCTCTCAACCCGTCACTGACGGGTCATTGTGACTGCCACCTACCTGGATGAGTCCTGGGCCGTGAGGTTAAACCAGACCCCGCCAAGGAGGAAGGAGACTGGAGGGAGCGTTGGGATTTTCGAGCACTGGATGAGGTACTGAGGGAAAAGAGGAG